ATGTCACTGTTTGTGTTGTTCTCAACCCATTAGAGAGCTTTGGAGAAGTACATTTTGGAAATGAGAGCTTTCCTTATTTATTTTCAAGAACAAAGACAAAAATTTTACTTGCTTTTTCAAGACTTTATCTTCTGGTAATTATGTTAAAATGTTCACTTTCCTCAGCCTGAGCTGAAGTTTTCTTTTTTTTTTTTAATATATTTTATTGATTTTTTACAGAGAGAAAGGGAGAGAGATAGAGAGTTAGAAACATCGATGAGAGAGAAACATCGATCAGCTGCCTCCTGCACATCTCCTACTGGGGATGTGCCCGCAACCCAGGTACATGCCCCTGACCAGAATCGAACCTGGGACCCCTCAGTCCGCAGGCCAACGCTCTATCCACTGAGCCAAACTGGTTTCGGCCTGAGCTAAAATTTTCATGTGCCTGTTTCCCAGAACAAAAAGGGACTCATCTCTGTTTGGTGTCTAAGGACAATAGATAGAAAAGACACTCTTTACTGATTTGGAACAATTTTTTAGTGGCAGCCACTTTCTGAAAAATAAAATATTATTGCTGTTTGTAAGTTTTACGTATACAATCTTTTTAGTGCTTTACATTAGGGTTCCTGGAAGAGAGGTATAGAATTAAAGTGGACTTTAATCCTTACATGTAATTTTGCAAAACCAGTAAGGAGTCTAGGTTTGTCTCATTTTGCTTTTCTTCATATTTTTTTAGCATCTTTCCCCTCTGATTGTTGGTTCCTCCAGTGCTTGAGAATACATAGTCTTTTTTTAAAAAAATATATTTTATTGATTTTTTTACAGAGAGAAAGGGAGAGAGACAGAGAGTTAGAAACATCGATGAGAGAGAAACATCGATCAGCTGCCTCCTGCACACCCCCCACCAGGGATGTGCCCGCAACCCAGGTACATGCCCTTGACCGGAATCGAACCTGGGACCCTTCAGTCCGCAGGCCGACGCTCTATCCACTGAGCCAAACCGGTTTCGGCATAGAATACATATTCTGAAAGTCACTACTGCCTTGTGAATTGATAATGAAAAAAAACCTTGCTCTTAAAATAGGATTACAAACTTTCAAGAGCCTGATTATGGTGATGGTTAGACATATTTACACATGTGTTGAAATTTGTACAACTATGCACCAAAAAGGTCAATTTTACTGTATGATATATTATTCAAAAGCAAAAAAATTTAAACAGTAAAAATAAGGATTATAGAGGACAATTATTAATGTTAGAATGTCACACTGCTCCAGAAAAGTGGGACCTATTATACTATCATTGTTCTCTCTCTTCTCCACCAAATCATGATACACAGTCCTGATCCTAGAATGGGAGTTTAAACGAACCAGGAAGTAGATCCAAGGGATCCAGGGCAAAAACTTGGATCTTCTTGTGTAGTAGTTAATAGTGATGTGTATCCAGTTCTGGCTTGGTAATGACCTCTGGTCCCTACATCCGTTGCTTATTTCATAATCACTATGTATCTATGATAAACCTTCAGATACCTTCTGGACATTTTCCCTATGAGTCCTCTTTATAAGCCTTTTAACTAATAATGGAACACTTAATCCAGGAAGAGAAAGAACCACTAAGAAACATTCCACAGAAATTACTTTCTCTACCACAGCTACATAAAGGAGATAAATAAGCCAGTAAAAATGCATTAAGCATTAAGGAAACACAAACCAAGTGAAAACTAAAAAGGAAAGAGACACATGCCTTTATTTTGCTTAAATAATTCCCTGCAAATTAACTCATATGCAGTGTTCAAGGAGCTTATGCAGATTATGTGACAAATATGTTGTGTATGTTTCTGTTGGAATGTGGTTATCTGCAAAGGGTTCGAAGGTTTACTTCAAAGGACGTACTTTTTGTGTTTAAAAACACACATACAGACACCAAAATGTCTAACTCATCCTTACAAGATGCCAGCACTAGGGACTTGGCAAGACTGAGGGAATGTTTCATCCTTGATATAGGGCTTTCTTAGTTGCCAGGAGACAGTGACTTCCTAGGCAGATGTCTGTCTGCTCATACTCCACACCAGCTGCCACCTTTTTCCTGAGCCAAACCCTTGTGCTTACATTATGCTGGGAAATCCCATAGATGCTTCTCCTGAAGTAATATTATTAATATTAATCATCTTGTCAATCTGTATTGAATATCGTATTTTATCAATCCAGTAAAATAGATTATGCCAAAAGTGAGTGGATAGATAAGGAAATGCTTTTTTAAAATACAGTATTTGAATAACTATTATACCCAAATGTATGTGATAGGACTTTTTCCAAACATGTTCTACGTTTGTTCAACCTTAAGCATAATAATAATATATATAGATTGAGTAGTTCATATTAATTTAGAAACTACACTCTGTTGTATATGTATATATCCCAATATTAAGTACTAGAAATTCAAGTACTTATACACTAAGAATTTACCACACACACAAGACTAATACCACACACACACACACACACACACACACACACACACACACACACCTGCAACTTGATGTTGAATGAATCTATAGTTCTTCTTCAGTGGCATAAAACATGATTAATGTTAAAAAGACCAAGGTAGAGTTCCGGAATCAAGTTCTCCCCAGCTAGGGCTGGATATCTGGGATAATGCCTGACAAGCTTTGTTAGTACAGTAGAGACATCTAAGACTACCTAGGATGTTTAGAAATTCCTAGTATTTGCCAACTGTTCTGTTGATTCATTTTAAACTATCCACTAACTGATATCCTCAAAACAAGATAGGATTTTTTTCTGTTCAGAGAATAGACTGAAAACCTTATGTGCAACTGACTTGGTTTTTAATGGCTGAAGATCTTATGTGCAACTGCCTTGGGTTATATATCCTCTGCCTTGCTCAGTCCTACACCAGCAAAACAGATGCTCCCTAGTCCTCCAGGGGGGAATATTCTTACTCCTTCCAATACTGAATTGAAACTCAACCACCTCATTAGGAAACAGGAAATCATCACCATCAAGGCTAGTTTCAAAGTTTGGAGGCACTAGATCAGAGGTATTCGGCATACTATGCTTCTTTCCACCTCAGGGTCTTAACATATGTAATCTCCTCTGCCTGTTATCATTCTTCTTCCTCTTTAGCTATCTTACCAATCCTTTAAAGTTCAGCTTAGTTCAAATACTATGTCATTTTTAATTAATTTACCTATTCTAATCTTGCTCTCATTACGTAAGTTTGTAAGTTTTTTGTGTTATTTTTCTTGTGCTTGTTTTGTTTTTTACATACACAAGATTATTAATTTTGGGTAATTGACAGAAACCCAATTTTGTTAATCCCTTTTTGTGTTGCAGTATCAATACACCTAAGGATCTGGAGACACCCAGTACTTATTACACAATATTGTTTACTTAACTGTTCTGCATTGTACCCTAAGCTTTATAATAGCAAAATCATAGTAGGAGCTCAATACATGTTTGTCTTTGAGTGAATAAATGACTGACTTAGGGAGTAAATGAGGAAAAGCTAGAAGAAAGACACAGAATAGAGAGTCAGGCAGAAAAGAAGACAGAAATTTAGGAGAATGCTTTATAGAGAGGGGAAAGAGAGAGAAGTGGAGAGAGGGAAGCAGAGAAAGAGACAGATAAAGTAGCAGAGGGGGAAAGAGAAGTGGAGGAGCAGGAGAGCCAGCAGAGGAAAGGACGGGGGCTCTGAGATAAGTGGTAGAGGTTTGGCTGCTTAGCAGTTGTATCACAGGAACTTAGCACTTCCTTTAAAATACTAATGAATCTTCCAGCACTTTTAAATCATTACAGAACCTTCTACACTATTAAACCACATTGAAATTTTGGGTTTCAAACCTCAAAGTTTATTTTTGAAGGCTTATTTTCCTAGAGAATTTTGAAGATCTTATCTGGGCACAAAGAAATTACTTAGATTTTAGGGGTTGTTTTTTTGTTTTGTTTTGTCTTGTTTTTTAGTATTAGGGGTATCCAAATGACCAGTTCTCTCTGAAAAGTCTTTTGCCTTTTAAAGTATACCAGATTACCTTAGTCTTTCTTCTTTAAAAGATGAAGACCTGCCTCAAACATTATTGCAAAACTGTACTTGAAACCAACACCTATTTTTATTATTTTGAACTATTTTGGTATTTCAATCAAAACCAATTTGGGGGTTTTGAAGTCCTAGTCAGGATGATGAACATAGGAACAATTAAAATCACGCCGAAACCGGTTTGGCTCAGTGGATAGAGCGTCGGCCTGCGGACTGAAGGGTCCCGGGTTCGATTCCGGTCAAGGGCATGTACCTGGATTGCGGGCACATCCCCGGTGGGAGATGTGCAGGAGGCAGCTGATCGATGTTTCTAACTCTCTATCTCTCTCCCTTTCTCTCTGTAAAAAATCAATAAAATATATTAAAAAAAAATAAATAAAATCACAATGCTTCCCCCATTTTCTACCTGGGTAATACCGCTCTGTCTGAAAACAAGGATAACTATTGTGCTCAGGGGCTTTCAAAGTAACTCTGGCCAGATAAAGGAATCTGGCAACATACATTCCTAGACAGAAATCAAAAGTTTGGTCCAAGGCATCAGAATTACTTGAGATGCTTGTTGTAAATGCATCTTTCAGGCTCCCATCCTAGACCTTGAATCAGAGTCATTCCACATGATTTCTGCATCCAGGGAAAAGAGACACCCCACCACCTTAAAGCCTTAGTACATTCAACCTTGATTTTACTGTATACTGTATGTGGCAGCTTCTGGGGCTATTCTTAGTATTTCTTAAGTATAGTATTTAGTTGGGTAAAATAAGGCCTATCTCCATAAAAAGTCAAATAATAGTAGAAGACAGCCTATGATTAATGTGCTGCAGGCTTGAATCAAGGATAATTTCATGAACAAAATACAGGTTAAAAGTTTCTATGAGGCTCTGAACTCTTGTGTTCTACCATTTGAACAATCTGAATCAAATTCAATGGTCTTAACTCAACATGTCTTCTATTTCTACATCCCTCAGAGTATCCAGGATGAAGGAGAAGATTAAAGAGAAACAAGAACAAAGAGAAACCATAAGCCAAGTCAAAGTCCAGGTGGCCAACCTACGGAAACAGGCTCTGCAGGAGCAGTTCAATGAATGGATTCTAGACCCTAAGGGAACGATTCCTATGAGAGTGGTAAGAAAGGGGGTGTCTGTGAAGAGTAGGTGGGTTAGGAAATAAGAAGGTAATACTGAGTGGAGTACTAAAATCCTCCCTCTAAATTTTCAGTCCTGCTGACGTAAGTCAATTCATGACACTAGTCCATGAGAGTAGATTTCTTTATTTTTTTTTAATTAAATCTTTATTGTTCAGATTATTACATTTGTTCCTCTTTTTCCCCCCCATAACTCCCCTCCTCCCAGTTCCCGCCCCACCCTCCACCATCACTCCCCACCCACTGTCCTCATCCATAGGTGCACCATTTTTGTCCAGTCTCTTCCCGCATCTCCCACACCCCTTTCCCCCCCAAGAATAGTCAGTCCATTCCCTTTCTATGTCCCTGATTCTATTATAATCACCAGTTCATTCTGTTCATCAGATTATTTATTCACCTGATTCTTAGATTCACTTGTTGATAGATGCATATTTGTTGTTCATAATTTGTATCTTTACCTTTTTCTTCCTCTTCCTCTTCTTAAAGGATACCTTTCAGCATTTCATATAATCCTGGTTTGGTGGTGATGAACTCCTTTAGCTTTTCCTTATCTGTGAAGCTCTTTATCTGACCTTCAATTCTGAATGATAGCTTTGCTGGATAAAGTAATCTTGGTTGTAGGTTCTTGGTATTCATCACTTTGAATATTTCTTGCCACTCCCTTCTGGCCTGCAAAGTTTCTGTTGAGAAATCAGCTGACAGTCGTATGGGTATTCCCTTGTAGGTAACTGAGTTTCTTTCTCTTGCTGCTTTTAAGATTCTCTCTTTGTCTTTTGCTCTTGGCATTTTAATTATGATGTGTCTTGGTGTGGTCCTCTTTGGATTCCTTTTGTTTGGGGTTCTCCGCGCTTCTTGGACCTGTAAGTCCATTTCTTTCACCAGGTGGGGGAAGTTTTCTGTCATTATTTCTTCAAATAGGTTTTCAATATCTTGCTCTCTCTCATCTTCTGGCACCCCTATAATTCTGATGTTGGTACGCTTGAAGCTGTCCCAGAGGCTCCTTACACTATCCTCGCATTTTTGGATTCTTTTTTCATTCCACCCCTCCGGATGGGTGTTTTTTGCTTCCTCGCATTTCAAATCATTGACTTGATTCTTGCGCTCCTCTGGTCTGCTGTCGGGAGTCTGTATAATATTCGTTATTTCAGTCCGTGTATGCTTAATTTCTAGTTGGTTCCCCATCATAACATCGAGGGTCTCATTAGTTTTCTTGTAGATCTCATTAAGTTTATCAGCGGCTTCTAAACAGTTCTTGAGAGACCTTAAAAGTGTGGTTCTGAACTCTATATCTTCCATTGACAATTTTGTCCTGTTTCTTTGTCTCCGCATTTTGTTATGCTTCCTTGGTGCACCCCCTAGTGGTCTTTGTGCGCAGTCTTGTAGTTAAGCCTTGATTGTTGTAGCTAATACCAGGGAGGGTTTGACCTCCAGGCCAAGTGGCTGTGAGAATCAGCTGTGTCTGCAGTGAGAGAACTTCTGTCCTCTAGGGAGGTGCTAATCTAGCCTTTGCCTGAGGCTATCTGGCAAATGCCTCTGTGCAGGGCTTGGGCGGGGCGGGTCGCACAGGATCAACAGGGTGGGCCGGAGAGAGCAGTTATGGCGGCTCTCAGTCCTGTCCCCAGGGGCTCTGCCTCTCTGAGTCCCAGCGACCACTGCAACCCTCGGAGAGAAAGCTGCACTCCCTCTGACCGAGGCCAGACAGTCCCGCTTCTCCTGTTTGAGTCTGGGTCCCTAAAGACTCGCCCGGATCTGGAGCTCAGAGTCTGCGACTCCCTCCCGATTGAAAACGCCAACCGCGCCCTCCGCTGCCAGCCCGCTCCGTGCACTCCGCACCTCAGAATTTGACTTCAGCACTGCGCCTCCTCTGAGTGTCCGTGTGCGTTTCTCTTTCCTCCTAGTTGTAGGACTTCCACTCAGCCAGCGTTCCTGTGGTTCTGGGTGATGTCTGTTCTGTCTTTTAGTTTCACCTTTGAAGTAGTTGTTCAAGGCAGCAAACTCTGGTGTTAACCTATGCTGCCATCTTGGTTCTCCCAGTTTCTCCATGAGAGTAGATTTCTTTAATTTTCTCTTGAGTGTTTTTAAAAATTTTAGCTAGAGTTCTAAAAATACATTGACTCTGGCTGAGGTTCCTAAAATCTTCATTACAGTCAGGCATAGCTTCCATTTGTTTTTTTGTATATATGTAACTAATTACTTCTGTGGGCTAAGAGACTATCTTAGCTCCAGATGACATCTGTACTCTAAGAGTTAAATATTTTCTTTTAGGTATGTATATACAGATATGAGAATACTTACTGGTTAAATAAAATGATAAGCATATTTTTGGTTTAAAGTGAATTTTTTATTGGATTTATTGGGGTGATATTGGTTAATAAATTTATATAGATTTCAGGTGTACAGTTCTATAATACATGTATATTATATTGTGTGTTCACCACCCCAAGTCTCCTTCCATCACCATTTATTTATCTCCCTTTTCCCTCTAGTAATCACCATAGTGTTGTCTGTGTCTATGAGTTGTTTTGTTTTGTTTTTTTTATATTTTCTTTATTGATTTCAGAGAGGAAGGGAGAGGGAGAGAGACAGAAACATCAAGGATGATAATCATTGATCTGCTGCCTCCTACACAGACCCACTGGAGGTGGAGCCTGAAACCTTGAATTGAATCTTGACCTCCTGGTTCATAGGTCAATGCTCAATCACTGAACCACACCAGCTTGGCTGGCTGAACAAGTTTTTAAAAAAATTATTATTAATCCCTTCACCTTTTTCATCCAGCCTCTCTACCACTACCCCCCACAGTGAATTATTAAAAAATAGACGAAGGAAGATAAGCCCAAGACTGAGAGAAAATATTTGCAAAAGATATATCTGATAAAGGACTATTATCTAAAATATACAAAGAACTCTTAAAACTCAACAATAAGAAAACAAACAATCTATTAAAAATGGGTAAAAGACCTAAACTGACAATTCCCCAGAGATATCCAGATGGCAGATAAGCATATTAAAAAATGCTCCACAGCTCTAGCCAGTTTGGCTCAGTGAATAGAACGCTGGTCCATGGATTGAAAGGTCCTAAGATCAATTCTGATCAAGGACACGTACCGCTGGGGATCGAGCCTGATCCCAGGTGCTAGGCAGGGCTAGTGTGGGAGGCAACCAATTGATGTGTCTTTTTCACTGTCTCCCACCCTTCCTTCCACTCTCGCTAAAAATCAGTGGAAAAATATCCTCGGGTGAGGATTAACAACAAAAAAGATGCTCCACATGTTATCAGGGAAATGCAAAGTAAAACAACAATAAGGCCCAGCCAGCGTGGCTCAGTGGTTGAGTGTTGACTTATGAACCAGGAGGTCAGGGTTTGATTCCCAGTCAGGCCATATGCCCGGGTTGCAGGCTCTATCCCCAGTGGAAGGTATTCAGGAGACAGCCAATCAATGATTCTTTCTCATCATAGATGTTTCTATCTCTCCCTTTCACTTCCTCTCTGAAATCAATAAACATATATTTAAAACAAACAAAAAACCAATGAGATACCACTACTCACCTATCAGAATGCTCAAATTCAAGAATACTGAGAACACTAAATACTGACAAAGACGTGCAGCTATAGGAACTTTCATTCATTGTTGTGGAAATGCAAAATGCTACAGCCACTTTGGAAGACAGTTTGGCAGTTTCTTAGAAAACTGAACATAATCTTACCATATGATGCAGCCATCATATTCCTTGGTATATACCCAAAGGAGTTAAAAACTTATGTCCATGCAAAAATATGCACATAGTTGATTACAGCAGCTTTATGTATAATTGCCAAATTTTGGGAGCAACCAAGATGTCCTTTAGTAGGTGAGTGGATAAATAAACTGTGGTATATCCACAAAATGGAATGTTATTCAGTACTAGAAAGAAATGAGCTATTACACCATGAAAGACATGGAGTAACCTTAAATGCATATTATTAGCTGAAAGAAGCCAACCTGAAAAGGCTACAAAACTGTATGATTCCAACTCTATGACAGTCTGGAAAAGTTAAAACTGCAGGGGTAGTAAAAAGATCAGTTTCCAGGAGTGAGAGGGGGAGAGAGGGGTAAATAGGCAGAGCACAGAGGGTTTATAGGGTGGTAAAACAATTCTGTATGATGCCATAATGATGGGTACATGTCATTATACATTTGTCAAAACCCATATAATGTACAACACCAAGAATGATCACAAATGTAAATGAAGAACTTAGGGTTATGATGTTTTCAATGAGGGTTTATTGATTGTAACAAATGGACCACTGTGGTAGGGGATGTTGATAATGAGGGAAGATGTATACTATGTGGTAGCAGGCAGAGAGTATATGGGACTTCTCTATACTTTTTGCTCAATTGTTATGAACCTACAAATGCTCTAAAGAATAAAGTCTACTTTTAGGAGAAACCAAGATGGCGGCATAGGTAAACACTGAAAATTGCTGCCTCGCACAACCACTTCAAAAATACAACTAAAAGAAAAAACGGGCATCATCCAGAGCCACAGGAAGGCTGGCTGAGTGGAAATTCTACAACTAGAAGGAAAGAGAAAAGCACACTGAGACTCAGAGGAGGTGCGGAAGTAAAGTGCATAGGTACGGAGGCACACGTGGAAAGGGCTGGCAACTGAGGACACGGTTGTCTTTTTCAATCGGGAGGGAGTCTCAAGCTCCTGACTGCTCTGAACTCCAGTTCCGGGTGAGTCTCTGGGGACCCAGACTCATAATACAGGGAGAAACTGGATTGTTTGGCATCGGTCGGAACTGGAGGGCAGCTTTCTCTCAGAGGTGCTTGCAGCGATTATGGGGACACTGAGACACAGCCTCATGGGGTAGGACTGAGGAGCAGCCATAGCTGCTTGCTCCGCCCTGTTGATTCCCTGAGACCCGGCCCCAGCCAAGCTGTGAGCAGAAGCTTTTGAATAAGAAAGGCCCTGGCCCTTTGCAATCTGAAAATTACCTAACAAATTGCAGCTGGGTCAGAAAGACCCAGAACTTCAAAGAGAAGGCCCAAGGCCACACAGCAGCTTGCACTGCTTCACAGCTGGGCTTCATCTGGGCACCCCCAAACCTCAAACAAAGAAGAGGAATTTGCAGATCTCTCCATAGCTCCTGCTGGGTAGCCTCAGGCAGAGGCTAAATTAGCACCTCCTTGGAGATCCAAGAGCCAGTGTACCCAGTGGTCAGAGTGGGACCATCCAGATTACAACTCCTCAGATCCATAAGGGACACACTCAGGAGGCAGACTCAGTGAGCACCAAAGCCCCAACTGAAGCAAGTCTTGCCCCAGAAGAGTGTCTCCAGCACAGAAGTTCTCCCACTGCAGACACAGCTGATTCTCACAGCCAATTGGCCTGGAGGTCAATTTCTCCCAGTGATACCTACAACAATCAAGACTTAACTACAACAAGACTGTGCACAAAGCCCACAAAGGGGTGCACCAAGAGTGTCCACCTCAGATAATTGGGGAGGCTGAGCCACTGGGCCCCATAGGACACCTAGCACAGAAAGCCACTCCATCAACACAGGGAAGCATAAAAAATGTGGAGACAAAGACACAGGTCACAAATGACAGAAATGGAGGAAAGCAAACGACTGGATATAGAGTTCAAAACCACAGTTATAAGGTTTTTCAAGAATTTTCTAGAAACCACTGATAAATTTAGTGAGACTCTCAAGAAATCTAGTGAGACCCTCAAGGTTATGAAAAAGGACCAACTAGAAATTAAGCATACACTGACTGAAATAAAGAATATTATACAGAGTTCCAACAGCAGACTAGAGGATTGCAAGAATCAAGTCAAAGATTTGAAATACGAAGAAGCAAAAAACACCCAACCAGAAAAACAAAAAGAAAAAAGAATCCAAAAATATGAAGATAGTGTAAGGAGCCTCTAGGGCAACTTCAAGCGTACCAACATCCGAATTATAGGGGTGCCAGAAGAAGAGAGAGAGAAAGATATTGAAAACCTATTTGAAGAAATAATGACAGAAAACTTCCCCTACCTGGTGAAAGAAATAGACTTACAAGTCCAGGAAGCACAGAGAACCCCAAACAAAAGGAATCCAAAGAGGACCACACCAAGACACATCATAATTAAAATGCCAAGAGCAAAAGACAAAGAGAGAATCTTAAAAGCAGCAAGAGAAAAACAGTCAGTTACCTACAAGGGAGTACCCATACGACTGTCAGCTGATTTCTCAACAGAAACTATACAGGCCAGAAGGGAGTGGCAAGAAATATTCATAGTGATGAACAGCAAGAACCTACAACCAAGATTACTTTACCCAGCAAAGCTATCATTCAGAATTGAAGGTCAGATAAAGAGCTTCCCAGATAAGGAAAAGCTAAAGGAGTTCATCACCACCAAACCAGTATTATATGAAATGCTGAAAGGTATCCTTTGAGAAAGAAGAAGAAAAAGGTAAAGATACAAATTGTGAACAACAAATACACATCTATCAACAAGTGAATCTAAAAATCAAGTGAATAAATATTTCTGATAAACAGAATAAACTGGTGAATATAATAGAATCAGGGGAGTGGACTGACTATTCTTGGGGGGGGAAGGAGTGTGAGGAGTGCGGGAAGAGACTGGACAAAAATCGTACACCTATGGATGAGGACAGTGGGGGAGGGGGTAAGGGCAGAGGCTGGGGTGGGAACCGGGTGGAGGGGAGCTATGGGGGGGAAAAAGAGGAACAACGGTAATAATCTGAACAATAAAGATTTAGTTTAAAAAAATAAAAATAAGTAAATAAAAGAGAAAAAAGAATAAAGTCTACTTTTAATAAATGGACCAAGAAGAAGTCTAAAATTTTTTGTGTGTAATTGAAGAAAGAGAAATTTTAGAGGATTCTTTGGATTGCCAAATTGTTTGCCAAAGGTGCCTTAGCTCCATCATCCCCCATATCTAAGGGTTGATAGAAATGGCCCTGGAAAGGGCAAAATGGGATTGTCCTCAGCATCCTAATTTTTACACAAAAAGGATGGGAATCATTGAGTACATATATGTGAACTCATTTTACATATCTATAAACTAAGTGTTAATTATTACTATTCCTGTCCCTGGGTTTAAACTGAAAAATTACAGATGGCTTTAGTCTAAAATACTAAGTATATGGTAATTAAGAAGTAATACATGATCTTTTTGATTTATAGATTCAGAATGCTCTTCATGATTTTTTTCAAAATCCAGATTTCAAGCTTGGTAAGCATGCCAATTACTACAGTATTTATGTTTTTTCCTCTTTTGGGGGAAGGGAAGGGATGCTGAATTAAGATGAAGAGTCAATATTGAGATGGATATTATTCAAAGCTCTTACAGAAGTATTTGATCTTTTTTCTGCTCTTTCAATTTTTTTTTTTTAAATCCTCACCTGAGGATATTTTTCCATTGATTTTTAGAGAGAGTGTAAGAGAGAGGGAAAGATAGAGAGGAATATCGATGTGAGAGAAACACATCGATTGGTTGCCTCCTGCACAAGCCCCAACCAGGGCCCAGGCCAGGGAGGAGCCTGCAACCGAGGTATGTGCCCTTGACTGGAATCAAACCTGCAACCCTTCAGTTGCAGGCTGGTGCTCTATCAACTGAGCCAAACTGGCTAGGGCTTTTTTTCTCTTTCCAGATGGAGAATGTAGAAAAGCAGAGAAGCAATCAGTGATTTTCAATTCTTTTAGTCCAGTGCCCCATTTTATTACAAATATTCTGTAATACCCCTTTAATTATCCTGTCAAATTCCTAGAAAACATTACTTACATACACAGAATTTTTAAAAAAAGATACGTCATAAATGTGATACAAAGAAATAAAAGATATAAAAATTATATGCACTGTATTTCAATACATAAGTGCTAGGTTATAACTTCATTATAAGATATAACAGAGTAGTAACATTTGTACCTCCTTATAATTAATGTTTACATGTAAGAAAAGTAGCCCGGCCAGCACTGCTCAGTGGCAAGCGTCGACCTATGAACCAGGAGGTCACAGGTTGGTTCCCGGTCAGGCACATGCCCGGGTTGTGGGCTCAACTGGGCGTGCAGAAGGCAGCCAATGATTCTCTCTCATAATTGATGTTTCTATCTCTCTTTCTCTCTCTCTTTCCCTTCTCTCTGAAATCAATAAAAATATATATTAAAAATAAATAAATATAAGAAAAGTAAAAATTATATCCAATCAACCATTTCTTTGTATTTGAAATTTTGAAATAGGGGCCAAATGAATGTACTTGTATACATTCCATGGGTAGTAGAATGGGAGAGCTATAAAACGCAGACTGACAGGTGTGTTATATTGGAATTCAGATACAATGTATGATATTACCTCCCATTACATAATTTTCTGAATAGTGAATAGCTCTTGGCAAAATTCCAGAATGAAGCAGAGTATACTAGCAATCCTCTCTCAAATTTTCACAGTAGTTACGTTCTTTAAAAATTCAACAGCAAATATATGTTCTGTGTTTATATGCAGTAAAATGGAGTTAGGTTCTAGACTTCAAATAATTCTAAGCAGAATTTTCACCTACTTGCATTTCTAGCAGGAGGGAGGGAGTCTTTTCTTTGCAGGAATTGCAGGAGTTCTGCCCCTACTCCTGCTCCTCATCATTGTATCAACAAAAACTCACCTACACATTTCCTCCATGCTCACTGGGGAGGAAGGAGACAGTACTATACCTATGGAATTTTTTAAAATCTTTTTTATTGATTTCAGAGAGGAAGGGAGGGGGAGAGAGAAACATCAATGATAAGAGAGAATAAATGATTGGCTGCCTCCTGCACGCCCCCTACTGGGGGTCAAGCCCACAACCCAGACATGTGCCCTTGAACCCAGGACCCTTCAGTCTGCAGGCTGACACTCTATCCACTGAGCCAAACCAGCTAGGGCTACACCTATGGATTTTGATGCTTTTGCTTTCAGAAAGGTATCCTTATATGAGTTTGTGTCCTGAAATTTACATAATTTATAGCCAATTGATTGATTTTTGACCACTTTATTACATTAATAACAATAGATTGTCTGACATCTGTTCATACTTTTTAAAACAAAATATGCTTTACAACCTCCCAATCACTGTTCCCCAAACATGATTTGGACGTTGTTTACAGCCTTTTCTCTTTCTACCTTTTCATCCTATCCAAAAACTATAATTATTCAGTCAGCACAACCTCAAGTCCCCTTTCAAAAAAAATTTAAATGACTAGTTTTATTTAGCTGGTTTTTGAAGGGGCACAAAAGGAACGAGTTAAGAGAGCTGTATTTGAGATTGTGATAAAATTAGAGAAATTTAGAACGCTCTATTGGCATTGATGGTTTCGTCTCTCACCTCCTATACTACATAGTATTAATTTTCTGTGCCATTTATTCATTCAATATTTACTGAGTCCTCACTTAGTTCCAGATACTATGATGGGGTAGAGAATACCAAGAGGACTAAGATATGTCCCCACTGCCCTTAAATTGCTTGCTCTAAGTCCAGCCAGGGGACTGACACATATACTTAATAACAACTGTTACTAGTAGAAATCTGTCTGGCTTGTGTAATATTCCAGAGCTTGTGGGAAGATCTGGGATGGAGATAGCAGCATTTAATGCATAAGCTTTACTAAAGCATATACAGTCCTTTTATGATAATAACTGAGATATATATATGCCTAATATGCAAAGTGTCCCCTTGGGAGTTTAACCAACTGGGAGTTTGATCGCTTGCTATGACATGTGCTGACCACCAGGGAGTGGTGCGGAATGAAAGAAGGCCCTGTCAGGCAGCTGGCAGCTGGGGAAGGAAGGCCCCAGCTGGCAGCTGGCAGCTGCTAGGGACCCTACTCATGTATGAATTTCATGCACTGGGCCTCTAGTCTTATAATAAGCAGTTAAACAATCAATAGTGACTAAAGAATATTTTTATGCATCAGCCCATGATTGGCAGGAGGAACTACTGTTAGAAGTAGGAGAGGAAGCCAGTGTATTAATTTTTTCACCTTAAGCTTTCACACAATTTTCACTTTTGTGTCTTGGTAAGGTCAATAAAGATCACATAATTGTCACATTAAAGGGAAGTTTAAAAAATCTTTATTCAAACTAACCGCTACATTCACCATTATTTAGCACTCTGTTATTCATGAAAATTTTTTTCTTTGCTTTTGTGATATTATTCTCTCTTGATTTTTACATCTATCTGTGATCACCCTTTAGCCGATGTTTCTGGTTCTTCTTTTCTTTGCTTTAAATGTTGTTTTCCAGAGTTTCTTTTTTGGCTTTATTATCACTTTACACATTATACACACTTTTCTTATTCAAACCCATGACTTCTGTTAATGACTCTCATCCATGTTTCCATCCCAAACCTTCCCCCTGAGTTCCAGATTCTATTTGAAAAGATTTGCAAGGTAAGTGGTTAAGTGAAAAAAGCAAGTTGCAGATCAATATGATCATATTTATATACAGAAAACAAAAGATATGTGTATGTGTAGTCTTTTATACTATCAGTGTGCATATTTGTTTCTGCTTTATTTCAACCTGGTCATTAAAAAGGTCGGCACATTCTTTTCAGTTTTGGGGTTGTTTGGTTAAATAAAATAATAATTTTATAGTAATTGGAATGTTACCCAACTATATATCTTTTACTTTATTGCAAATATTGATGAACATTAATTAAGAAATACTTTTATGTTTTTCTTTTAAAGCACTATGATATGAATAAAAAATATGAATGTATTGTAACCACACTAACTAGCAAATAACCTTTATTCCATAATAGAAACAGTTTGCAAACAGTTGGATATTGCTGACTCAATGGAGCAAAGATTGAACAAAATGGAATTTATAGAAGTAAGAAGTTATAGTATTCATTATTTGACTCAAATTATTTTGCCAGTTTTGGTGAATGTCACATATACATTAACTTAGAATTAAATTAAATGGAAACATAATAACTTGTGTTATTGATTCTAAGATGCACATTTTGAATATTTTAATGCCTCTGAAATTATGGTTATGTCTTATAATCAAAGGCATCTTACAATTTCTTTCAATCAGTGGTATTCATGATGTGAAAGTGTGAAAAATTCCATTGACACCTTTGGGTAAGATAAAGAAAAACCATCTTCTTGTATTCAGTGAAATCTGGTTGTACAAATAACAATGAGATCTAAAACTTACCTATGGGCCAGGCACATTTTTTAAAATTAGGAGAACTACTTATTATCAGAGCAATGTGGTAAAAATGAACACCTGGTCTTCCCAATTGGCAGAGAGGGAAGTCTTCTTTAGCAATGTCTGTTAAAATGTAACTTCTCTGATTCTTCCATGTTTTTGGAGACCTCTTCATATTTCATATTTACTTAATTCTAAGATAACTTTTCTTTTTGCACTTCTAAAATCAAAATTCATCTTACAGGTGATGGAGATGTCTATGGCCTTGGTGATGATGATTTTGGTTTATATTTATTTTCCATAAGAGGGAAAACACTTTATTTTGAGGTATGGTTGACATGTAAAAAGCTGTACATATTTACATATACACACTTGAATTGAATATGTATAGCTTTTAATATGTCAACTGTACCCCAATAAAGTTTTTTAAAAGATGTATCTTATAATCAATGTAGATATTTAATAAAATAATATTTTCCTCTCTTCTCCAACCTTCCAAATCTGTTCTTAAATCAATAGTCTATCTTATAATTGGTGATTTTTTTGATAATTGAAAAAAATGCTATTTGTACTTGATAAGTAAAGACCTAATATAAAATGACAAAAAGATGGAATACTACGCTGCTGTAAAAAAGAAAGAAACTTTACCATTTGCAACAGCATGGATGGACCTGGAGAGCATTATGCTAAGCAAAATAAGCCAGTCAGCATATCACATAACTTCATTCATTTGTGGACTGTAATGAATATTATAAACTGATGAACAAAAATAGATACAGAGACAAAGAAACATTGAACAGACTGTCAAACTTCAGTGGGAAGGCAGGGGAGGAGTGGGGGATGGGGGAAAGAGATCATATAAACATAATCAATGGACATGGACACTAAGGGGGTGAGGGCATGTGTCAGGGGGTGGGGGTGGCTGTGGGGAGGTCAATGGGGGAAAAAGGAGACATATGTAATACTATATATAATACTTTAAACAATAAAATAAAACTTTTAAAAGATGAAATTAAGAGAATTTTTAAAGAATATCTGATAATGAAAGTAAGCAATAAACAAACAAAACTGAGCAGATTTCAAGATTAAAAATAGTCTAGTAGAACCAAGACTTTTTTATATTTGTGTTAAAGCTTTCTATTTGTAAATTGTAAAATTAATATAAAGGTGATAGGACACTTTAAAGCTTTATGAGTTTATAGAAAATTATAATCCTATATAATAAAAGTATATGCAAATCAACCAAATGGGGGAACTACCAGTCGGCAGGGGGCGGGACTGGCAAGCAGGTGGCACCAGGCCAGCCAAGGCACATGCCAGTAGGTAGAGGGAGGGGACGGTGATGGGGGAGGGGCGGCAGTGACCAGTGGTGGCAGAGGGGCAATGGGGCGGATGGGGCCGGCTGCCATCCCCTGATGACCCACAGAAGGAGGCCTAACTGCAGCTTAGGCCCACTCCCTCAGGGAGCCGTCAGTTGGACATCCCCTGAGGGCTCCCAGACTACAAGAGGGTGCAGGCCAGGCTGAGGGACCCCACAAGTGCATGAATTTTTGTGCACTGGGCCTCTAGTAGAATATATAAAAACTAGTTGCCTGGTGCACGAAATTCATGCATATTAAAAGGGAATTAATTAGTGCTTGCTTTGGCAGCACATATACTAAAATTGGAACCATACAGAGAGAAGATTAGCATAGCCCCTGCGCAAGGATGACACACAAATTCGTGAAGCGTTCCATATTTTTTTTTTAAAAAGGGAATTAATTAGAGGAAATATTTTAATATTGCTATTTGCCCTTTCTCTATAATAGAAGTGTCAGAGATGAAAGAAAATTAGTAAAATGTAAATGAAAATCTCCCTCCTGTCAGAGTCTGGGCACGCCGCAGGACCCAGAGTCAAGTCCCCGCCCTTGAAATTGCGTGAGACCCAGACCCAGCCGGCCCCACCCTGTCAAGCCCTGCAGGGCAGGGGGCATGACCTCAGGTCCCCCAGTCTAGGCGCCAGGGCAGGGGGCAGAGCCTCAGGTCCCCTGGACGAGGCACGAGGGCGCAAGGGCGTGAGAGTGTGACAACAATTTGCATGTTAGCTCTTTATTATATAGGATACATTAGAAATATAAGGTAAATGAACAAAAATTTGACAATAATTGTGGCAATATTAAAACTGTTTTTGATAACAGCTCTATCTATAATAATAAAAGCATAATATGCTAATTAGACTGGACCTAATAATACTTGATACAAACTCATTAGCATTCTACATAATTCCTTTGTGGATATCTATTCATCTATCTATATAATTTTGTTTTAATGGGTGGGTTGGGCTATTACTATTAATTTTACTGATATTGCCTAACTTCTCTTCCTGAAATGAAAACAGCACATGTTCTGGTACTTTCATTATAGAGAAGAGCTGTTACTTCAACTAGAAACCAAGAAAGTATTTCTTATATATAAATATTTATTGAACATATTTGATTATCTAATCAATAAATTATTGAGCCATCTTATATGATATGACCTAGAAGTAATATTTGGGATAATTGGTTTTTTTTAAGGGACAGTTGCTTTTAAAAAGATTTGTTTTAAGGTTATTTTGTCAGAACTCGTTCGATGAAACGAAGAAAATGAAATAAATGGCAGGCTTAAAGTCAGTATGTTGTGCACAGGTGCCACCCAGTGGAGAAACTATGCCATGCAACTGCCCCGCTGATAGTTGGCAGTAGTTTCTGATTCAGTAAGCCGGAGTAGGGCCCCCAAATTCACATTTCTAACAAGCTCTCAGGCGATGTGGTCAAGGGATCCCACTTTAAGAGCCATTGATCTCATTGGGTTTTTCCTTCTAAATATGTAAGTCAGCTGAAAAGACTTTTATCCTATAAAGAAAACTTTCTTGGTCGATTTTTTTTAACCTAGCTCAAAAGGAAGTAAGAGCAATGGCTACAGAAAACTATTACATGAAATACCTAAGCTCTGCACACACAGCATCCTCTTTGTGACTCAGTAAGAGAGCTACTATAATACCCATTTCACAAATGAAGGAACTGGGAAGTTATTATTCATCTCAGGTTACTCAGCCAGTAAATATGGGAACTGGGATTTGAACCCAAACAGGCCCCAAATATGAGTTCTTAACTACTATTCTTACTTCCCAAGGTAGCAGATGACCTTAACTGTGCTCATTGATCCATCAACAATAATGACAATTAGGTGGTTTGGTCAGCTAAGTAAACTAAATATTTAGAAGAGCTATTTTGCTCTGCTTCAAATTTTCCTCTTTTCATCCCTAAGCCAGTTGAATAATGGTTTATGATTCATTAGCATAGATTAAAGCCTATGTACCCCTTACATAATGCATTCTAAATTTGCCTGATAATATTACTGAGGAAGTAAAATATCAACTATTCCCTTCATTTCAAAAATTGTCAGGGAAATATATCAACATAATGTTTCATTTAAACAAGCTGTCTTCGCTACTATTCTTTAACTGCATGAAACAGAAACCAACCTGAGCTAATTTAGCTGAACATGAAGTGTGCAAAATCCGAGGGCAGGAATATGATTGGCCTCATGAAGAGACTAGAACAGGGACTTGGAAAACTTTTCTCTCTGCTTTCTGATTTACCCATCTCTGTGTACAGACTTCCTTGGTATTTTCAGTTCACATGGAGTAATCTGGCCATCTACAAATTCTTAAGCTTAATTTATAGATCCAACCTCTCTCAGAGACCAACTGGCCATTCCCCACTCCAAATTCCAGAGACTGAATGGCTTTGTTTTGGTGAAGTATCCTCCCCTGGTCCAAACATGTATGGCTAAGGAAGTAGGATAATTCAGTACAAATTTGGCTACCAGTACAAATTTGGTTACTGTTGTGCTTGGGTCAGAGGAGGGAATCATTGACTGTGAATTGGGCTAAAACTTCAAGAGGAGTCCAGTCAGAAACTCTTCCAGTGTTTAATCCATTTCTCTCTATCATGAGATATTACACTCAAGTGTAGATCAAGAATGTAATGTTCTTGACCCATCAAATTAGCAAAGATCTGGAAGGCAATACACACTAATGGTGAGGCTGAGGAGAAGTAGTCACTCATCTGTTCGTGGTGGGAGCACAAAGGGTAGTTACAAGCCTGACCAACATGAAAACCTACCAAAAATACAGATGCATTTACCTTCTAAGTCAGCAATCCCACTTCCAGGAATCTATTCAACAGGCATTAAGAAAAATGGCCCAGGTCAGAGGACCTGAACAGACACCTCTCCCAAGAAGACACACAAACAGCCATCAGATATATGAAAAGATGTTCAACCTCACTAGCAATTAGGGAAATACAATTCAAAACTACAGCGAGATACCACCTCATACCTGTTGGAATAGTTATTATCAACAAGACAAGTAATAACAAGTGTTGAAAGGTTGTAGAGAAAAGGGAACTGCTAGTGGGAATGTAGACTGGTATAGCCACCGTGGAAAAGTAGTCTGGCAATTCCTCAAAAATTAGAGCTACCATTTGACCCAGCAATCCCTCTCCTGGGTATATACCTGAAGAACTCAAAAACATGTACTCGAAAAGATCTATGCACCCCTATGTTCATTGCAACATTATTGATTGTGGCCAAGACATGGAGACAACCAAGATGTCCTTCAATAGAAGATTAAATAAAGCAGATGTTGTACATATACACAATGGAATACTACTCAGCCATAAGAAAAGACAAAATAGTGCCATTTGCAACAACATGGATGGACCTTGAGAATGTTTGTTAAGTGAAATAAGTCAGGCAGAAAAAGCTAAGAACCATATTATTTCATTCACATGTGGACACAAACAGCAGTGTGGTGGTTGCCAGAGGGAAGAGGGTGGCGGTGGGTGAAAGGGGCCTAATAGATGGTGATGCAAGATGATTTGACTTTGGGTGGTGGGCACATGGTGTAATATACAGATTTTTTAACATAGAAATCCACACCTGAAACCTACATGATCCTATTAACCAATGACAACCCAGAAATTTAATAATAAAATAAATAACTATTATGAACAAAGAAAAATGGCTCAAGATCATATGAGTTTGGAATAGTGGTGGTAGAAATGTGGATTCCTCAAGATAAAACAATGTGCCCACTACATTTAAGCTGGGTCTATATAATCTCAAAACAAGTCAACCATGGACTGGTTACCCGAATACCAAATATTGATCCTTCAACTTTTATATCTGCATCATTTTCCATCTTGCTAAGAATTTAGTGTTTAAATTGAACATGATAAGAAAGGGGCATTTGTCCCTGGACTGGAAATTTATATATTTTTTTAAAATGGCCCAGTATCATAGATGTGTCAGACTCTACACTTTCAAAAAAAACAGAGAATCATAGACAAAGAATACCTTATTGCAATATCAAAACAAAACAAAACAAACAAACACTCCACCTACAATCTCCATCCCTTACACTCTAATAATTAAATGTAGTCAGTCTTGGAAAACAGACACTCTTATATGCCATACATCAAAAGAAAAGCTGCATTCAATTTTTAGAGCTAGTAATTTACAGGCAACATTCCATGACTGCTGCTATTTCAAACAGTAAGGTAAAAATTGTGTCCTATATAGTGCTGATGTGAGCTAAAGGGAAATTGCTTCCAAAATATCTAGTCCCACTGGTGTGTGGTGTTGGGGACTGTATTGATCAGCTCCCTCTGCTGCACAGCCTGTAGACTAGCACTAACATGAAATGCTTTATCTAAATGACAAGCAAATGAGATGGGGGAAATGGCAGCCATTAATTTCATGCACTTCAACTGAATCCTAAGAAAAACCCAAGGAAAGAGCACAGTTTTAAATCGATCACTTTTCCTCTTTCTCTCTGCAGTACGTCTCTTCGCACATTGCAGACTTGAAAAGTGAAATATTTGAAGAACTCCTTAAGCACCTTTGCCACAGTGCAGATGAATTCCGGGAGGTCATAAGAACGGATATGCGGAGGCAGATGTTTGTTGAACTCTTCCTGCACTGTGACAGTGGGAAGGTAGGGTAAGACCCTTAAAGCCATGTTTCTTAAACTATTTGTTATAAAGGACCAGTTTTTAGTTTGTTGTTAATGGTGATGTTTTTAATTTCCAATTTGCTGTGGAATGGTACTCAATGAAAACGGATTACTAAGCAGGGAAAAGGACATACAAAATACAACTCATATTTTTATTGTCAGGTTCAACTCTGATTTAGCATGTTACTTTCTCAAATTTGCTAGATGCTATTTTCAATTTATGTATACTTCTCACCACAGACTTGTACCAGCTTACAGACCACACGTTGCATGGCACAGCATTCCACAGCATATAACTTATCTCTAAATCTCTTTCCCATTCTTAAGAATGGTTACTTAAGATTGTTTTTGCTTGCTCTCTTTTCTGGCTTCTTATCAAAAAAAGCTGCTGGGAATAGGGAGTCTACTACATCTTATTATATTACTTCTTTAAAAGAAAAGTTTATATCAAAAAGTATTTCTAAGAGTGGTACTTTGGAGGATATTGGTGTGCTAGGATACCAAATGGATTTGCAAAATAGATATTAATTTTACTGATATATATTTGTTTATGAACTTTGTTTGTATCCCCATGTTCCAGAAAAGATTGCAACAAAGGAACACGTATTAAAAGTAGGATGAAAGAAGTAAAAAATAAGAGAGATGACAGTAACTGAAGCTAGGAATAAAGCCCCAAATGCATATTTTACTGGCATAAATATTTGTTCTAGGTTGCCTACAAGTTTGAATCTAAGCTTCCTAGCCGTGAATGTGAAAAGGGAAACATGAGCAAACATTCTATTGGCGTGTTTAAGATAAATGCAAACTGATATTAAGAAGAAGTACAGAAAATTGGGGTTCAAAGTCAGCAGTTCCTCCCACAAGTACTCACAAAGGGACCTTATGTGTTGAAGTGAAGGTCCATTATGCCAGACGTATAATAAATGAAACAATGATTTTCTTGGGGAAATTTCTTATAACCACCTTAAGTGTAGGTAAATGATACCACACCTGACTGCAATTCAGAAAAAGCAAGTCTTGAAGGAGCCAATATATTGCAGTCTAGGCTCTCAGATCCCTGCTAATTTGGCTTAGGTCAGGAATATATATATATTAAAATATATTTTTATTGATTTCAGAGAGGAAGGGAGAGGGAGAGAGAGATAGAAACATCATCAATGATGAGAGAGAATCATTGATTGGCTGCCTCCTGCACACCCCACACTGGGGATTGAGCTTGCAACTGGGCATACGCCCTGACCGGGAATCGAACCAGTGACCTCTTGGTTCCTGGGTTGACTTCAACAACTGAGCCATACCCAGCTGGGCAGAAATCTCTATATATAAAAGCTAAGCGACTGTTCGACCGGTAACTATGATGCGCACTGACCACCAGGGGGCAGACGCTCAACACACAGGCATGGAAACATGGAACAGACTGATAAATCTCAGAGGGAAGGGGGGAGCTGGGAGGGTGGGAAGAGATTAACCAAAGATCTTATATGCATACTAGAAGCCCGGTGCATGGAGTTGTGTACCAGTGGGGTTCCTCAGCCTGGCCTGCAAGGATCGGGCCGAAACCAGCAGTCCAACATCCCCTAAGGGGTCCCAGATTGTGAGAGGGTGCAAGTCAGGCCGAGGGACACCCCCCCCTCCGAGTGCATGAATCTGTGCACCAGGCCACTAATCTATAATAATAAAAGTGTAATATACTAATTAGACCGGATGTCCTTCCAGACAACCTTCTGGATGAAGCTGGGGCTGCAAGGGAAGCCCAGGTCCTGGGCACCTGCCAGCGGCCGGAGGGAAGCCCGGGTCCTGTGTGCCAGAGGGAAGCCGGTGCTGGTAGCAGGGGGAAGGAAGGCCTACTCTTGCATGAATTTCATGCATTGAGCCTCTAGTATATTTTACAAAATCTGAAATGTCTATGTGTCCTGTTGAATATTGCTTCTTTTAACGGAACTTATAATAAGTATTGGTGACATGGATGTCAAGATTTTACTCTCTAATAAATGCCTGGATACCAACTATTCATAGTTGGCTAATTTAATACCAATTCATGTGCTATAACAAACATAGCAGGATCATATTTAGAGACATGAACTCTTGCATTTCTTCCCAGTATTCAAATAGAAGTTATGTGCTGATCTTGTAGGTAAGACAAATACAGTTTAGAATAAAGCAGTTTCTGAATATTTTAACCAGTAGCTGAGACAAGAGTTCAAAAGCCTGTACTTTAACTTGAAAATCCTGGGCTCCTGAAAGAAAAAAAAGAGAGAGAGAGAGAGAGTAAGGAAGAATGCAAAATATGACATCAAAGCACTTTTTCTATCACTGGGAAATTGTGACCAGCTGATGGAAGGAGGAGGTAGTAGAGGGGATGTGACTAGGGGTTTGAGGTTGTCTGGGTCCCTAAGTCAGAGTTAGTATCTGATCCCCCACCCTCGAGCCCCAATCAGGGCTGAAGGTAATATTATAGACACTTAGAAATTCTAAGTAGGTTGAGGAGAAATTTAAGAGCAGCAGGGCTTATGCTTCTTTTCTTGGGTTTAGCTCAGAGACTGCAAGCTTCATAGAGAAGTCCTGAATCCAACATGATACTAAAGAGGGAGGGTAAGTGCTGCAGAAGATTGTAGGTAGGTGGGCCTGAGGTTAGTCCCACTCCTGTTGCTAGAGGAAATGTGATGAGTATTCCCAAATACCTGTGTGTGAAGGGGAGTGGGTGTGCAAAGGTGGCAGTAAAAGTTCTGTGTGTACATCCAAGAAGACACCCTGGCCGGTTAGAGCATTGTCCTGATATGCCAAGGTTGTGGGTTTGATCCCTGGTCAGGGCACATATAAGAATCAGCCAATGAAGGCATAAATAAGTGGAACAACAAATTAATGTTTCTTTCTCTCCCCCCTTCTCCCACTTCCTTTCTCTCTCTAAAATCAATAAATAAAAAGTAAAAAGAAAAGATAATGCACATAGTATACAATTCATTAATTGTCTTTCTATTTATTTACCCTAGGGAAATGTTTATACATGTACACAGGAGATGTGTATAAGGACATCCATTATACACATTATTTTTGGTATCAAAATACTGGAAATAATCTAAATGCCCATCAAAAGAAGGATTTTTATTTTTAAAATTGCGGGTTTCATATTATAGAATACCATACAGTTAAAAGAAATAAAATAATATTTCTTTATATACATGAATCAGATCTCAATGTTGTGTAAATAAGAGCAATTTTAAGGATAATTTAAATGCTTATAAAAAGGTTTTTTAAGCGGGGGAGCATTTGAGATCTTGTTTCCTAGCATGTCATCAGTTTGGCTCAAATTAACTCTTTATAAAAAATTTTTTTTAAAATGTACAAAAGGATACATGTACTATGATATCAGTTATATATATTTGTTTGTTTGTTTGGTTGGTTGGTTGGTTGGTTGGTTTTGTTTTGTTTGTTAATCCTCCCCCAAGGACATTTTTTCCATTGTTTTCTAGAGAGAGTAAAAGGGAATGAGGGAGAGAAACATTGATGTGAGAGAAACACATCGATTGGTTGCCTCCCGCATATGCTCTGGGGGCCAGGGATAGAATCTGCAACCCTTTGGTCTGCAGGCCGATGCTTTAACCACTGAGCAACACCAACCAAGGCTCAGTTAGAGATTTTTAAAGTACATACAAAAAATGTTAACAATCATCATTTCTGGATGCAGGGAATACAAAGTGTTAGTTTTATCATTTTCTTATTTTTTCTGTAATTAACTTTTTCCCAAAATAAAAATGTGAAAAAAGAACAAGTAGGGAGCAGTTAATTGTCCTAAGTGTCATACTTAGATCAGATTAGATGAGAATTGAACATTGTACATTGGATTAAACAATTACGTCAGTAACAAACATTTATTAAGCATCTGTTAAGTGAAAGGCATTTTGACATTCACAAAATGGGAAATAGAGTATAAGCCTCAAGAGGTAAGGTACAGCTTTCCCAACTTTGACTTTGCAGATTTTATTTATATGACGATGGTAGTGATGAATGTTTCAATATGCCATATTCTGTCTACATAAAAATCTCAAATCTCTTATAACACCTAACTGCCAACTTTCTGCTTAGGTAGGGTTTTTGGATCGGCAGAGGACATTGGCCTTGCTGGAAACATTCTACGACCAAAGTCCAAAAATGCTTAGACGTTTACTCCGAAACCCAAGACAATGTAAGTGCCACTCAGAGGGAGTATGCTCACACTGAAATGATGAAGTACACTAATCTATATATATAAAAGCCTAAGTGACTGGCCAACTGGCGGGTAGCTATGATGCACAATGACCACCACGGGGCAGACTCAATGCAGGAGCTGCTAAGCTTTGGTGACTTGGCAGCTACGGTTCTCGGCAGAGAGCAGGAAGCCCGATTCCAGGGTGTGTCACCCAAGAACTGCCCTCTTGCAATCCGGGACGCCTCGGGGGATGTCAGAGAGTCGGTTTCAGCCCAATTCCCGCAGGCCAGGCCGAGGGACCCCACCGGTGCACGAATCTGTGTACTGGGCCTCTAGTATGATAATACAAGGCCATTCTATCCCTGCGGAATTTCTTCACATGTCTCTCTTAGATCATGATAGCTATATCTAGTTGTTCTTCCCTACAAAATTCACTCTTTATCATGACTAGATGTATTTTTCACTACAGTTCAGTACTAAAAGTTGTCAATCCAGAACTCAATTTTAAATGTATTCAAATGAAGAAATGTTTTAGTAACAATCTGAATGTTGCAGAAATTTAGTTGGTAATGGTAATTCCAGTTTTAATGTCCAATTTAGAATTCTGAGATTTTGAAGAAAAATGTCCCCTTCTCTCAAGCATTTTTACTTGTACAACTTTATTGTACACATACAGTGAAATTTTTATATTACCAACCAAAACAAATAGGAGTAGCAGTTTTATTTTTATTTTTTAAAGAGAAAGTCATTGAATGGATGGGTTTTCCAAAGAATGTCAGTATCTTATTTCTGTATGATAATTTCTTACTTGGATACCTAAAAATCTGTGGATGATGTACATAGACTATTCCCTTAAACCCATGGGAGTCACAATTTTATAGCTTAAATACTAAATGTTTTAGAAGGGAGAGGCGATCTTTGGCATGGTCCCACTCTTTGTAGTCTGGGTCACCAGTGTTGTTTTGGTATGGTGTTCTTTTTTAACAGTGGGATTCTGCTGAATGCTATTCAATCTTTCCCTAGAATTCTGAGCCAAGTGTCCACATAAGTTGTTGAGGAAAAGAATCAAGGAAGGAAGAAAGAAAGGTAGAGAAAAAGGAAAGGAGAGAAAATGAATATTGGAAAAAATAGCACAGTGAAAAATTGTCATGGATAGAGACATGCTTTTATTTTGATATTGCAGATATTGAAAAGGCATTTGAGGTGGAAGACATGTGTCCCCTTCCTCATTCCATGCTAGCCTCATTGTGGGAGGACTGAAAGTAGAGAATAAGTTGTATTTGTCTTGGCAGTTTAAGCAACCCCCCCCCCCCCAACTAGCAAAAGAGGAATCATATTCATTTTCAAACCACAACTTTTAGGAAGGGATACTTTCTAATATATAGTAGTGAGCATCTTTTATGTTCAATTGGATACCTTTTTGGTTTTTATTGTGTTGCAGGGAAAGGTAACTGACATTTATTTAAAGTAATAGGCCTATATTATAATCACTGTGCTCAATGCTTTTTTGCATTAACTTGCTAGTTCTGATTCTGTATTATAAGATCAACTGTTTAGGTAAATGCTTTGTTCTTTTGCATTAGGGCCACTCATTGAATTTGAAGAGATAGAGTTGTCTGAGTTCTGGGGAGACATGGATAATCAGAAACACATTTATGAAGACTTTGACAATGTGTTCTTAGAGATGAATGCATCACTGTCTGAAAAAAATGCTAGTAAAAAACAAAGTAAATTGCTCAAAAAAACAGAAGAGCTACATAAATATGATAAACATAAAAAATCAACACTATTGCCGAGCCTACCAGAACAGCAGAGGGGAACAATTGCAGGACAAGACCCAAACAAAATTTTAAGTGAAGATCTAAACTCAGAGTCAATAACAGCACTAGGACAGCAGAAAGGGGCAACAGTGCGACCAGGATCACGCAGAGGGTCACGCAGAATGTCAGTAATAGAAGAACCACAAAAAGATTCAACTGCAGAACGAGGATCACGCAGAGGATCACGCAGAATGTCAGTAATAGAAGAACCACAGAAAGGGTCAAAAGAAGAGCCAAGCAGAGAGCCAGTAGCAGAACAAGGAGTACCTAGAGAGGCAATTGTAGAAGAAGAATCACTCAGAGAGTCGGGAATAGAAGGATCCAGCAGAGAGTCAGAAGCAGAACAAGGAGTACAGAGAGGGGCAACTGCAGAAGAAGGGTTTAGAGAGTCACGAAGAGGATCACGCAAAGGATCACGCAGAATGTCAGTAATAGAACCATATAAATTGCCCACTGAAAGACTAGAATCACCCGGAGAGTCAGTAGCAGAACCAGGATCACAAAGAGGGCCAACTGATGAAGAATCTCTTAAAGAGCCAATAACACGAAGAGGATCACGCAAAGGATCACGCAGAATGTCAGTAATAGAAGAGCCATATAAATGGCTCGCTGAAAGACAAGAATCACCCGGAGAGTCAGTAGCAGAACCAGGACTGCAAAGAAGGTCAACTGCAGAAGAAGCATCTTCCAGAGAGTCACTAACATCAAAAGGGTCACACAGAGGATCGCACAGAATGTCCTTAACAGAACTGCATAAAGCGTCAACTGAAGAACTAGAATCACTCAGAGAGACAATTCCAGAGGAACAGGACGTAGCCTCAACTTCACAAACAAGGGAAGGTAATATCTTAAAAGAAAGTGAAAACATCTAGGGAGGTTACTTCCTTTGTGCACACTGAAATCCTTCCACAAGAATAGAATGCTCAGGAGCAAATATATGAAGGGAAACTATTCATGATTTCTGAACTGCAAGAAAAAGATTAGTATGAAGTAGAAGAGATAATCAGTTCTCTGTTTTGTGGAGTGGTTTTTATTTTTTAAAATATATTTTTATTGATTTCAGAGAGGAAGAAAGAGAGAGAGAAACATCAATGATGAGAATCATTGATCTGCTGCCTTCTGCATGCCCCACGCTGGGGATCGAGCCCACTGGGGATTGAGCCTGCAACCTGGGCATGTGCCCTGACTGGGATAGAACCATGACCTCCTGGTTCATAGGTCTATGCTCAATCACTGAGCCACACTGGGCAGGCTGTGGAGTGGTTTTTAAAGTCTTCAGAAAATACTCATTTCAATTGGGATCTTTTCTGATATATCAGATCATGCAAATCTCAGACATATTTTGCTACTCGGCATGAGTCTAGACCAGCCGTGGGCAAACTACGGCCCGCAGGCCGGATCCGGCCCATTTGAAATGAATAAAACTAAAAAAAAAAAAAAAAAAGACCATACCCTTTTATGTAATGATGTTTACTTTGAATTTATATTAGTTCACACAAACACTCCATCCATGCTTTTGTTCTGGCCCTCCGGTCCAGTTTAAGAACCCATTGTGGCCCTCGAGTCAAAAAGTTTGCCCACCCCTGGTCTAGACCTTGACCAAGCAATTAAATGCAAACCATAAAGACTATTATCAGACATATGTAATACCTTAATCAATAAAAATTAAAATTAAAAATTAAAAAAATAAAAATAAGACTCTATTATCCATTTACCTTTTATTCTTGTGGGGTTTTTTTAGAAAGTGGATGGGAGGGGGCAGAGACAAAGTGAGAGAAACATGATGTGAGAGAGACACATAGATTGGTTGCCTCCTGCATGCGCCCCGACAAGGGCTGGGGATCAAGCCTGCAACAAGGTATGTGTCTGTGTCCTAGTTTGGAATCAAACCTGGGACCCTTCAGTCTGCTCTATCCACTGAGCAAAACTAGAAACCCACTTGTAAGGAAGAAATCTGGTAATGTTGCACATAGAAATTTACGTTGGATCTCTGAAAAGGCGGTAGAAGCCATTTTGTTTTAAATGTGGAGTCTGATATTAGAAACCACTTTAAAATTTTTCTTTTATTTCACCTATAAAATGGATCTTGATTTTTCAGTTGTATATAAGATATATTTCTAGAAAAGTTTCTGAAAGCCATATTTAAGACAAAGGGCACCCTGCAGTTCAAATTTTATTCTGCAGAAGACATTTTTCCTCTGAATTGCCAATTTATGACCTTTTCTTTTAAAAAAATTTTAACCTTTTAAAAAGCCAGTCTCAATACCACTGAAGACCTCAGTTAGGCATAATTTTTTTAAAAATTCTGCTCTTTAATTCTACAGTCCCAAAGAAAACTTGTAAGAAATGGGTAATTTGTGTTTTAGTTCTACACTATCATCAACTAATTTGAAATCTTTTTTTTTTTTTTTAGTATTATGTTTATTTCTCCATAAAACAGAGCTACTAATTTCTGGCTCTCCTTACATAGGGATGTAGCATTTAAAAAGTAGTGAGGTTACTATTCAACCAGATGTTATGTTAGTGAGGTCTTAATTTTGGCTATGTGTAACAGTGTTCCAAAATGAGTGTCGGAAAAACAAAACAAATAAGTCTAAACAAGAAAGGGGTGTCTTTCTTTCTCACATAAAAGTCAAAAGTTCTATGACAGCTCAGTCCCATGAAATCAGCAGTGGCTCAAGCTCCTTCTATTTCGTGTCTCCTCCAACCACATGGACCAAGATGGTTCACTGCCATGTCTACATTCTGACCAGCAGGTGAGGAGAAAGGAAAATGGATAAGCATCACATCACTTCCCTGAACATATCATTGGTCAGTATATAGGGATATAGTAAGGGAGGCTAGGAAATGTTGGCCTCATTTTGTGTGGCCAAATTGGGGTAAATAAATAGCTTTTGTCAAAGAGCTGCTCTCAACAACTAGAGTTATTAAGTTCTATCACAATGGTTGATTATGACACAGCATATATGGGAAAGTACCTGAAAGAAAGTTTTTGGTGGTCTATATGCAAGGCATTTCGCTTATTCATTAACTTAAGAATATGTAATGTCCAACTCATAGGCATTTTCTTTTGTACCTTTTAGAAACTGCAAAGAAGAAAGTTGAGAAAGACAAAGCCTGTGAACCCAAGTCCCAAAACATAGAAGGAAAGCCATGGCCAGGTAACTCACTTAACCCTCCTTTCATGTAGAACAAAAACATTGTGACAGTGAAGTTAAATTGCCTATGTTATGTGGAATGTGTATTTTATAGGTGAACTTTTGACTTGTGACTTGAAGAAGTATATAAAATGCGAAGATGAGGAACAGGCAAAATTAATCTATGGTAACTCCAGATTCACAGGTACATATCAACAACAAAATTAGAAAGAATAGATCCCAGTCTAATTGATGAATTTAACTTATTGTGGTACCCCATGATAAAGACTGGACTTAGACAAGACACAACACCAGGTGAACCTGCATTGTTTTGTCCCTGAGCTGATGGATCTAATTATTTACAAGATGGCCCGGCCGGCATGGCTCAGTGGTTGAGTGTGGACCTATGAACCAGGAGGTCACGGTTTAATTCCCAATCAGGGCATATGCCTGGGTTGCAGGGTTGATCCTCAGTGTGGGGCATGTAGGATCAATAATTCTCTCTCATCACTGATGTTTCTATCTCTCCTTCTTCCTTCTTTTCTGAAACCAATAAAAATATTTTTTTAAAAATAAAGATTTACAAGATGAATATTTTAGCGGTAGTATGCATGTGTTATTGATGAATGTTCTTCTACTTAAAAACAAATGCATTAGTATACAGTTTTTTAAATCATTAAATGGCCCAACAGCTGCTTTTAAGCTATGATCTAGGTATACAAAAGGAATCAGATATTACTACTCAATAGAAATAATTTCAGCTTTCCTCTCCCTGGTAGTTTCACATCCAAACATGTGAAACAGGTGAGAATATAGATTGTTTTTGAAGACTTACAAAGAAAGATCTACTCAACAGAGAGAGCAAAGAGTAGCTGTTATTTAAGTGAGTGTTCCAACAAGTACTCATATTTTACTACAATGCTATTTTATCATTTTTACCTTTCATCAACATGTAGTAGGACTAATTAGATCAGCATTATTTTCTTTCTTTTTTATCTTTATTGTTGAGAGCATTGCAGATGTCCTCCTTGCTCCCCACCACCCAGTTCCTACCCTACCCTAGGCCTTCACCACCCTATTGTCTGTATTCATGAAAACAACAACAACAACAACTATGGGAACCTAAGACAGCCACTAGACGCTGAAAGATTATTTTCTTCCTATCCGAATTTAAAAAATTTAAGTCTGGGTCAAATAATAAACTTTTATCCTCAAAATATTTTGGTGTAAATGTATGGCATTAGTCAAGCTCTTATAGCCTGCTAGTTCATGTTCTCGTTCTCCTTGTCTTATTTCAATTTTGCTTTACTATTTGGAAAATAAACTGCATGAATGAGTATTTTTTAAGTTATGTCAAATCTCTTATGGAAGTCATAAGGGCATGAATGATTAACTCAATGAATAAATTAAACATAAGTCATTGGGTTAAAATTTTATGAAATGTGTCTCATGTTAGAACATTGAACTTCATGATAAATATAGTAAAGACTCATTGGGGGAGGGGTTGTAATGGTGGTATTTACAGACTTATTTAACTGTCAAGTCCAGATTGCAGCTGGCTTCAGGCACAATTGAATCCAAGGCCTCAACAATAGCAGCAGGGCACTGTCTTTCTGCCTCTCAGTCTGTTCTCTGTGTATGACTTTCAGTTCTAGGTTGTTTTTTCCATACTATGACAAAGATGTCCGTGAGAGTATCTCTAAGCCTACATCCTACCAGTTCAGGAATCAAGAGTACAAAAAGGGGGGTCCTTCTCCCAATTGTTTCCCCAAAAGTTCTGGGTTTAAATTCTCATTGGTCTATACTGGATTACATTGCTGTTATACATAGATCATTGGCCAGACCTATGTCACATGGTAATCCTTAAGGCATGGTTGGGGGAGGTTAAGTACCACTTGACTTAACTAAACATTTTACTGGGGAAGAGATGTTTTGTCAAATAAAAAAGAAATGGTGCTGTCCCCATGAAGGGAACATGGATTTCTGACAGGAAAATAGTAGCAGATGGCCATTATAATACATACTCATATATTTTCCTTAATCTTTGAGAAAATTGTCCAATTTACTGTATGTTTCCTGCTTTATAGACCTACATTCAATTATCAGAAATATTCAGTCTTACAAAGAAGTGAAAGGAAGGAGTGCCTTCAATGGAGTTTCCCTTAATCTGCTCCAGTTTGTGCAACTCCTAGAGACATTTGTTGGTGAAGATGCCCCCTTGAGTACCAGCGAGACCCTCACCTCCTTTTTCAAGTGGGGCTATGCTGAAACAAAAGAAGAGAAAATGAGTGACTTGGAAGAGGTGAGTAATACTGTTTATCAATGAAACAAGTGAGGTCACTATTATTAAATTTGTCAATCTCAGTAGTTCCTAGTGTGGCTCTTCTTTAAAAATTTACAACTAAATGTGCCACTATTTCAACAATAATGGCCATTAAATATTTTATTTTATTGTCAAATAAAATGAGTTCACACTCCAGAGAACTCATTCCCCTAATAATATCATGATTGATGATGGCAGGAGATGGTTTATTACACAGCTTTGTGTGTTTTTTTTTCACTGACGCTTGAATAGCAGACTTAATGGAGCAAATATGTGTATCAACAAAGATATAACAAAGATATCGCATGCATGTGTATCTGTGTGAGTGCATTTACAAATGCACATACCTAGGGTTCAATTACAGCTTGAATATATATTTTTGTTCATGTGCACTGCATCAGGTAGTACATATTTTGTAAGAACTTACTACTTATTTAGGTGTAGGTAAATGCACACACATTAGCTAATATAAACAATTTATGTGCTCGTATATGAGATATGTAAATTAGATTCACCAGGCATATACAGTAATCTCAGCAGCCTTATGAATCTTCTCAACTTAATTCTAGAGGTGATATCCCTTTTGCCTCAACTGCAGTTCTCCCATTTAACCAAAAGGTATATATTCACTTTGTTTCAGAAATTAAATATATCTAGATATTAAATTACTGTCAAATTGATATAATTAATCTAATAAAAAGTATAAAACGTAATTAATGCCAGGTTAGGTCAATGTTAAATACAAAAAATATTTTTTGAACACAGTCATTTTTTATTGTTTGAACACTGCCATTTATCCCCCTTCACTACAAAACAAATGCTACCAAGAAGCAGGCAGAGTACCCCATGTGGTTATAATATTACTGAACAAGCAGCGAGGGAGTGGAAAGGAATGAATTAAAGATTCTTAAGGAGTGTAGTCTTCTTTCTATATTAATGTGTTTTAATCCAATGCAGAAACAGAGAAGTGGTAGTGAGAGGATTAAAATTAAATGATTCATTTTCCCATTAATATCATGCTTAGTCCCAAAGTAAAGCTGTTTTTATAAAAAGTGCTGCACTTTTTTGGGAATAAACATAGGATGCCAGCTAGTAGAATAAACAGCAAGTCTTCTGTGCTTTGTTATCTGATTTGTATCCTAGGCTATACAAAACACTTCCCAAATTCGACGGGGACTTCTCCTAGAAGCCCTCTTTCAGTTGTGGGACAGTGATGGCTCAGGCTTCCTAGATCTGAATGAAGTTGATGAACTCTTGTATACATACAAGGAGGGAATGGAAAAAGAAGCTATGAAGACAGGTAAAAGTATAATAATTTTCCTATTTAGGCTAACAACTTTGTTTCAAGTTTCCCGGTAGTATGACATATATACAATTAAACACTGGTTGTTCTAAAACCATGAGATATTACCTTCTCACTTGCTAGTATGGCGACAAATTGTTCAGGTTTATTAAGATATAACTGACTTATAACACTGTATAAATTTAAGATGTACATGTTGATTTGGTACACTTATATATTGTGAAATTATTCCCATAGTAGTATTAACACCTCCATCACCTCCCATAATTACTATATCTTTTTCGTTGTGAGAACATTTAAGATCTTAGCAACTTTCAAGTGTATAATACAGTATTGTTAACTATAGTCACTATGCTGCACATCAGATCCCCAGAATTTATTTATCTTATAATGAAACTAGAGGTCTAGTGCACAAAATCCATGCACAGGTAGGGTCCTTAGGCCTGGCCAGCGATTGGGACCAATCAGGGCCTTCCTTCCCCCAGCTGACGGCTGCTGGCCAGGGCCTTCATTTCTTGACACCCCCTGGTAGTCAGCACACATCATAGCGAGTGGTCAAACTCCTGGTCGGTCAAACGCCCAAGGAGACAATTTGCATATTAGCTTTTTATTACATAGGATTTTGTGCCGTTTGACCAACATCTCTCCATTTTCCCTACCCCTAGCTCCTGGCAACCACCATTATACACTCTGTTTTCATGAGTTTGCCTTTTTTAAATTCCACATATAAGTGAGACTGTACAGTATTTGTCTTTCTCTGTCTGACTTATTTCACTTAATATAATGCCTTCACAATCCATCCATGTTTTTGCAAATAGTAACATGGCATCTTCTTTATCCATTCATCTGTTGATGGATACTTGGGCTGTTTCCATGTCTTGACTATTGTGAATAATTATGTAGTTAACATGGAAGCACAGATATTTCTTTGAAATAGTGATTTTGGATATATACCCAGAAGTGGAATTACTGGATCATATGGGTACTTCTATTTTTAGTTTTTTTAGAAACCCCAATCTGTTTTCCGTAGTGACTATACCAATTTACATTACCATCAACATTGCAAAAGGGTTCCCTTTCCTCCACAACTTCACCAAAACTTGTCTTTTATATGATGACTGTTTGAACAGATCTGAGGTGATATCTCATTGTGGTTTTGATTTGCATTTCCCTGATTAGTGATATGGAATATCTTTTAATCACCATTTGGTCATTTTCATGTCTTTGGAAAAATGTCTTTTTCGTTCTTCGGCCCATTTTTTTTTTAAAATATATTTTATTGATTTTTTACAGAGAGGAAGGGAGAGAGATAGTTAGAAACATCGATGAGAGAGAAACATCGATCAGCTGCCTCCTGCACATCCCCCACTGGGGAAGTGCCTGCAACCCAGGTACATGCCCTTGACCGGAATCGAACCTGGGACCTTTCAGTCCGCAGGCCGATGCTCTATCCGCTGAGCCAAACCGGCTTTGGCAGCCCATTTTTAATCAGATTTTTTTTGCTATTGAGTTGTATACATTCCTTATATTTTTTTGGATATTAAACCCCTTATTAGATATACTAGAGGCCCGATGCACAAAGATTCATGCAAGAATGGGCCTTACTTCCCCTGGCTGCAAGCACCACCTTCGCTCCTGCTGGCCAGAGCTGCCTTTCTGCCTTTGCTCCAGCCCAGAACTGCCTTTCTGCCTTCATTCTTGCCCAGAGCTGCCTTTCCACCTTCCCACGCTGCCCAGAGGCCAGGAGTGGCTGAGGCAGTGCGGAACGCCTGCGTTGTTGTCCTTCCCTGCCCCCAGCCATTCAGCACTTGTGTATGCAAATTAACCCACCATCTTTGTTGGGTTAATTTGCATACTTACTCCTGATTGGATGGTGGGTGTTTGCAAAGGTATGGTCAATTTGCATCTTTCTCTTTTATTAGTGTAGGTGATTTGAAAATATTTTCTCCTATTCTGTAGGTTGTCTTTTCGTTTTATTGTTTCTTTTGCTGTACAGAACCTTTTTAGTTTGATATTGTGTCACTTATTTATTTTTGCTTTTATCGCTTGCATAGTACGGCATTTAAAAATTGAAATAATTAAATTTTAATGGAAAGTAACAATTGTTGGCAAGGATGTGGAGAGACTGGAACCCTTGTGCCTGGCTGGTGAGAAAGTAGAAAGTGTCAGAGCAATCAGGAGTGGAATATGTTGTAGAGTGTTTTGCCCAAGACCTTAGCTCTAATGGTTAGATTCCTTCTGTGTACTTGAGTACGCTCAGTCTTGGGGTTAAAAGAAAAAAATCCAAACCATTCCACAGTTCTGCTTATTTTCTCTTTTTGTTGTATCTCTCTGCCTTGACAAAGTCTGATTCACTTCACAAATCTGGCTGGCTTGCAAGTGTCTCCTGAATTTACTAACTCAACTTATTCTTCTAAATGACTTTCCTCTTCTATACTATACTTTTCTCTTCTGATCAATTCTTCCCAATCAAGAGCTGCTAAAATTCCTATTGTAGTATAATTCCCTCTTTCATTTGATTAGATCCTAGTAGAAATGGTTATACTCTTCCCTGGGTTTAAGGATTTGTCTAATTTCTTTGGCATACCAGATTTCTAACTCTTAACGTATATAGTGCACAGCAGAAGGAATGATTAGGATTAACATTCTTCTGCCCTAAGTTTATCCATTGTCATGTGTTTTTAATTAACTATGTCTTTTGCAAACTTTACATTACACTACATTACTTTCTTAAACTGCAACCAAAAAGGATTTACTTAATGAAGTTTTGAAAGGCATAATGAGGTGATTTTATAATATGGGCAAATTTCCTAACACAGAACCATGTTCTACAGAGGAAAGAACATTACACAATGGTCAGGAGTGCTAGGTTCCAATACTGGATCTTTCACTAAATGGTCATGTGAGCAAAGGCAAATTATTGAATCTCTGTAGATCCAGGTGTCCCCATTTGTAAAATGAAGGAGATAGACACTATGAATTCTGGAATTTAAGGAATCTCAGGATAATGTTATAAGGATGTTCCAATATATATGATTGAAGTACAGCAATAGGGATAGGTAGAAAGCAAAAATGTAATGGGTTAAGCCAAGCAAATAAAAATGAAGAAAGTAATGAAGAGACAGAATCTGCTGCCAGAAGAAAATGTCTGCAAGCAGGAAGAACAAATTATTCTCTCCAAGGGTAGACTCATACAAAATGACTCTCTCTGAACACATCTTGGTAGCCACCAAGCCTGTGGAGATAACTACTGAACCGATGGTCATATGGAAGCTGAAAGGCAGATTTTGTTTCTTAAAAAAGGAAAAATTTTAAAATTCAAACATTAGCTAATAACAGATTGGAAAACCTTTAGACAGCTCTTTTTTTATTTGTTTGTTTTTTCTCTGCCCTTCTTATACAATTCTGTGTCCAAGATTAAAAATTGGGGTTTAAATAGGATAATGTCACAGAATTAGAAATTCCTAGAAATGTTTCTGCTGGTGTCCTCAAAATGGAAGTTTTCTATATGGAAAGGGCAAGTTGAAACTTTTACACTGTAATTTTCCCTTTTTATTCCCAATGTAATATAGCCTAATCTTTTGAGCAGAAATATCATATATAAAAATCTGTAGAACATGTGACCTGTCTACACTGTAGAATTTAAGAGAAAAAATTATCTTCCTCCATTACTTCTCATGAAATAGCTATTAACATTTGTTGGATATGTCCTTTAGTTTTCTATTAAATGATAAAATTTGCTTTAATATATACATTGCTATTTAAGTAGGGCATTTAACTCTTTTAAAATTATAACATTTTGGTGAGTCATTCTGTCACCAAATTCTCACATTTATTTAGAAAGTCTCATTGAAATACTCAGTGTTCCTTAAAGAAACTGAAATCTGGACAAGTGGTTAGTGTAAAACTATTACTGTTTCTTCACCCTGGAACAAGGAATCTTTAAGAAACTCCGCAGTCTTTTCTTGCTTTCTATACCTTGCCATTTATTCAGATTGCAGGCAGATTTGTTTGTAATTTTTACTTCTTTTAGGTTTGTCTAGTATTTCCTCATGATTACATTTAGGTTGTTCATTTTTGGCAGGAATGTCATATAAGTAATGCTGCGTTCTTCTCATTGAATGCTATCAGAAATCTCATGAGAAGGTATCAGTCAGGCTCCTCCATTTTAAAGTTACTCTTCTTTTCCTTTTTAATTAATAATTATTTTGCAACTATATAAACATTCCATTTCTTGTCAAACTTTTTGTTTATTCATTCATAACAGTATATATTCAGTTTTTCCTATTTTATACAGTAAATTATAATCCAACACTATCATTATAACGCTTATATATTTTTATATTTAACCCATGGGAGTCCTTTCAAACTGTCTCCTATGCCCTCCTCTCCCCTCCAATATTTTATTATGAAAAATTTAAAACATACAGCAAAGCTGGAAGAATTTTACAGTGAGTATCTATATATCTACTACCTAGATTTCTATCATTAACATTTTACTAAACTTTTTTATTATCTATCTATTCATCTCTCCATCTTTCTGTCCTTCCATCTACTTCTTATTTTTGATGCATTACACATAAATTACAGACATCCATATACTCCTCCCTAAATATTTCAGCATGCATTATCATTAATTAGAGTTCAATATATGCTAACAGTTTTTTTTCCTTAACAAAGTGGTTTAGCAAAAATGGACATTAGTGGTTCATGTGATGGAAAAGTCCAGGGCTAGTTCAGGACACACCAGATTTGGGAGTTCAAATAATGACTTCAGGGCAGGTATCTGCTTCTTTCTCTTCCTCTCTCTTTCAGTCTGGTCCTGTTCTCTTCTATGTGTTGACTCCACTTTCACACACTCTTTCCCCTCATGGTGATCAGATTCAATCTCACATCCCAACAGGTTTATTCAAATTAAGTGAGAATAAGAAGGAAAATATCCTCTTCCTAATAATTCAAGTAAAGAGTCTGGCATTAGTCTGGACTAACCCAACTACTCTGGTGAGGGGAATATGATGTCCTGACTGGCTTAGAGCTGAGATGCATGCTCCACCTCTAGGACCTCTACCAAGTGGAACCTCACTCAAACATATGACCTGAGGTTGGAGTGGACTAGTTTCCCCAAAGCAAAATCTGGGATACAATTGCTAGGAGAAAGATGAGTGGATGCTAAAGAGCAAAAATCATATAATCAGATGACTAAAAGAGACAGTATTTGTTAACTGTCAAATAATTAATATAGTATGAATGTTATTATCTTTCAGGTGGAAGCCTTCTTGAATTTTAAAGAGGAAAGGTGCATACTCTATGACTTATTAATTATAAATATCAAATAAACTTACACATGTGCACCAAGAGACATGTACAAAAATGCTCATAGCACTTTTCATAAGAGCAAAATATTAGAGACAACCTAAATGCCCATTGATAGAATAAATAAATTGATGATGGTATACTTACAAAATGACATATTATATAATAGGGAAAATGAGTAAGTCACAGCCATAGGAACATAGATGTATATGGTAGCATAATGTTGAATTAAAAAGCAAGCCCCAGAAAAGTACATATAGTATGATGTCCTTTTTCTAAAGCATACAAAAAGATAAAATGAAACCACATATGGTTAGAAGTACACGTGTGTGTGTGTGTGTGCGCGTGCACGCGCGCACACACACACACACTAACACTATTGGGAAAAGAAAAGGAAGGAAAAGATAAAGCAAAAGCAAAATTTCAGAATACTAGTGCGGGGATGTGTATAGGCAGGAAGTGGAACAATGGCAAGGGCATAAAAGAAGATGTAAGTTATTAGTAATGTTTAGGTTTGGTAGTAGATCGTGATTGTATGCTAATAAAAGATAGATGTGGGTGCAGAAGTGTGCAAGGCATAGTCAGGGATCGTGAATAGAATGGGGATACTGAAATAAATAATTCCTATATGGTATTATGGGCAAATATTCTTGGAAAATGGACTGGATCCAAATATACTTTGAACCAAGAAATTGCATAATTCAAGTTGTGTTTTAATTTAATTTCATAAATATGTATTGAGCCTTCATTGGGTAATCCACTTATAAAGTGATTAATACTGGTTTAGTATTTTGGAAGCAGGAATGGTGAGGACAATACATTGTCAATGACTGACAGGAGAGAGTTAAGTAGTCTATTGGAAATGGATGGGAAAAGGTAGGGTGGAATGAAAGTTGACCCTGGAATTTTGCCTGACTAAGTGGTAGAATTAAATAAACAAAACAAAAACAGGAAAGATGACATAGGACTTGTCTTGAGTTTATCATAGTAATTCACTGTAACATGTTTTGTTGGGCTTAGATGCCTTTAATATACCTGATTTTCCATTGGGGGAAGGGGCGACAGTTGTCAAGAGACTTCAGTTTGCTGTAAGAGGAGAATGAAAATTTCTTCCACAGGTAAATGAGCTTTTGGTTAGTCCTTGAGTTTTGTGTTTATGTCTTTTAGCTAAATTACACATCCAATTTCCAAAGCCACACCCTGGTCAAGAAGTGAGGTTGTCTTCAAAACAGTTTCAGAAATACATAGAATTGGTTGTATCTGAACTCAGGGGCAATGAATACCAGGTTCTGGAAAGCCTGGTGGAGTTTCTGATGACCAGCTTAGAAAGAAGCCATTTTGAGGGTCTGAGGAACAGTGCCAGACGGAAGTGGCTGCACCAAATTCAACATGCTGCAGAAACAAGTGGGGTATCCCTGGAGCCAGTGTACACTGAGACTTTTAAGGCCCTCACACAGGTATGTTGTCTAAAATTATACATAAAAAGAAAAACGTCCTCACAGTAGGTGATATTCAATGGTTGTAAAGGAGGAGCACACTAAATTCTCTTAAAATTTGATGGGTATTGCTATAGATGTTTCTCTCTCTCTCTCTCTCACACACACACACACACACACACACACACACACACACACACACACATTACAATGACCCAAAGCCTAGGGAAGATGCAACTGGAATGACTGCAGGTTGGCAAGGAAGAGAGGAAACACATAAAAGACAGAGTTATGTCTTGGGATTTCTAATTTCATTTGTGCTGAGACTCAAATAAACCTAGAACAGAAAATAGACTGATATCAAAAAATACCCATAGGGAGATGTGAAAGGAGGTCAAACTATATCTCCCTTGCATGATGTTTTGAGAGTCAGTTCAAAAAGGAACTATTTAAAACAAAGTTATTATAAAGTGGAATCCAACACCACACAATTTTTCATAACACTGCCTAGAAACAAGCTGAGACTATCACAGAATCCTGTCACTTAAAACACATGACCATCATGGGCCACTGTCCACAGCTTTGCCACCCCCTCAAAACCTCCAGCTTGCTGCTTCTCCCAGATAGAAATAATAACATAGCTATCTTCTGCATATATCACAGATTCCTTTGATCCAGGGAACCTGTGTCATTCGGCTCAGCTAAATAGCAAAACTCGATTATTGGAATCATGTCCTGAATGGCTGAAGTTTCCAATGTAGTTTGAAATGGTGTAACTAGGAATAGGAGACCAATCAAGAAAAAGAACTATTATTCCAACTTGCTTCAGAGATCTACAGTATCCCAAGAGAAACCTCACTATATTTTTGTTACTCTATAGATTTTTATGTAGAAAAGGAGAAATAAAGGCAGAAAAAAGGCATGAAAAGTAAACCTAAATATATAGAAAGATGAGACAAATATCAAGGAATGTGTTTCTCATATCCCCCAACTAATGGATGTGTTCAGTATATGTATTAACACATAATATTCTTGGTAACATAATAATATTTTAGGTATAGAGAATTTTCAGTTATTTCAATAGAAATAGTAACTGCATATAGTCTGCAAAATGAGGCCCCAAAAAATCCTTTCCTAAAATGACATAAATCAAATGTCATAGCCAATCTATGTTAAGAATTCCTTCGGAGCGTTTTTCCACGTTCACATAATAGTATATTAAGGTTAAGAAATGAGTAAAATGAAGCCATTTTCTTGCCCCAGCTCTCTAAAATAAATGCTTTTAATGGAATACCAAACAATCTGACTATAGTTCAAAGGGGTATAAGTTTTTAAAAATATGTATATTGGTTTGAAAGAGAGAGAGAGAGGAAGGGAGAGAGAGAAAAAAACACACATCGGTTTTGTTGTTCCACTTATTTATTCATTGGCTGATTCTTGCATGTGCACTGACCATGGGTTGAACCCACAACCTTGGCATATCAGGACAACACTCTAACCCAAGCATGTCAAACTCGCAGCCAGAGGGTCAGCTGCAGGCATGTGGCCCACCGGCCACGAGTTTGACATGCTTGCCTGAGCTACCTACCAGGGTCAAAGGGATCCAAGTAGTATTTTTATTTTATTTTATTTTTTATTGACTTCAGAGAGGAAGGGAGAGGGAGAAAGGGATGAGAGAGAATCATTGATCCGCTGCCTCCTGCATACCCCACACTGAGGACTGAGCCTGCAACCCGGGCATGTGCCCTGACTGGGAATCGAACCGTGACCACTTGGTTCATAAGTCAACGCTCAACCACTGAGCCACACCAGTTGGGTGGGATCCAAGTTTTAAACCTCTAAATTTGAGTAGACTTTGAGATTTATTTATTTACTTACGTATTTTTAGTAAACCAGTCTAATTGGCATAAAGTAAATCCATTACACTCACTAAAATTCAGGTTTGGGGGACAGCTGTAGAGTCAGTGTACACTTTTCTTCACTGCCCATAAATAGTAATATCTTCATTATTTATTCATGAAAATGAAATTATTGGGGTCAAAGGCACAAACTGGCTAATGAAGGAAGATGTGATTAAGAGAATGGCTATTGGCAAATACATCATCAGCAACATTTTGCCATAGGATGCTCAAGTCCATGGAAATAAGAAGATCAGTGCTCATATTTCCCTCTTAGAAGAAAACCGACTACTGCCTCATAGAGGGGCTGTTCTATTAAGGAATGTAGCTTGTACTTTAGATGATGCTCCATTTGTACTGAACAAAGTGCTCTACAGGGACATGAAGGGAATCAGGTAAGAATTTCTTGAAAAAGTTGATTTTACCCTCCTTTTTTAAAAATATGTTTTGATTGATTTTTAGAGAGAGGAAGGGAGATGAATAGAGAGAGAGAAACATTGACAAGAAAGGAACATCATCTACCAGCTGGCTCCTGCATGCCCCCTACTGGGAATTGAGCCCACAACTTTGGCATGTGCCCTAATCAGGAATTGAACCATGGACCTCGTTTCCTGGGTCGACGCTCAACTGCTGAGCCACACCAGCCCGGCGATTTCACCCTTCTTTAAAAAAATAATACAGTGGGGCCTTGACTTACGAGTTTAATTCATTCCGAGACCGAGCTCATTAAGGAGCTCGTTAAGGAGCTCGTTAACTCAAATTACTCTGTCAATGCAAAAAACTCAGCCGAGAGACAGCTGGTATCTCAAAAAACTCCTTAGCCGGGACACTCTTAAGTCAAGTCCCCACTGTAATTCCCTTTCTGAAGTAAATTAGCATTGAAATCCTAGCTAGCTGCCCAAGAGAGAGAAATGCCTCAGGTCACCAATGCTTCTAGAGTGGAGATGACTGGTTTCCAGTCTCAGGTGATTTCACTTGATCATTTCCAGAGTTTACTTAGGCATTGATTGGGCATGTAGGGATTCTGCTTTACAATATCAGCTCAATTATTTCTGCCTGCTCTTTAAAGTATGTCTCCTGCATCCTGATTATATATGTTTTCTCTGTTATGATCTAAGCTTGGTTTTTAAATCTTTCAAGTCAGACTCTCCAAGCTGGTAATTTTACGAGTCCACTTCTCTGACATGTAATGCCAATGATTATGAATGGAGAGTTGATCTAGGTTCTACATGGTTTAACCTAAAGCTCCTCCTGTGTCTTTCTCTCATCCTCCTATTCCTATTCCTTAGCTTTACAGTAATAGATAAAGGGAAGCCAGTTCATGTCCCTCAAGTTCAGCACCATGGGAACATTTTCTTCTGGAACGATTCCCGCAAGGAGAATGATAAAAATGGATCATTCTTGGCTCTGCCTCTTCAGAATGCATATATGAGGATCTTTGGGGTCCTGGCTATTGACACACTAAGAGATCCCCAGAAAATAAACATCTTCTTGCCTCATGAGATCAAATTCTATCAGGTAAGTCAGAGAAGGATTCTTCCATAGCAATGGTAGGATGGCTTCTCCTCTTATACTTTTTACAAAGCAAAACCTGAAACTAGATGAGGGTAGAGCTATATCTGTAGATAGGGTTGTCATATGGTTCCAGTTCCCTGTGTGTATGTGTCAGTATTTTGAGAGGTCCCGCATTACACATGGAAGAACTGTCAGCTTCAGTTGCACAACTATGCTTCAGAATCTCTGGGAAGATTATCAATGTGTCCCATTGCATTAATCACAGAAACAGGATTTTATACTGTAGAACCAAATTCCAACTATTAGACCATTACGACCCACATAGTCAGAATGAACTTTTAGAAAGAACATATTTATGTTTTATGAATAGTGGAACCTAGAAATCCTTTGCTTTTTCTACAAATGGTGCTAAATATGATATGTGATCCCATAGCTCTTGACATCAGTATTATAATTTTTGAGGATAAAGAATGAAGAAAAATGCTTAAGTTTTAGGCACTTTTAAAACTATACAATAACTGGATCATTTCTACAAATATTTAAATTTATGAATGGAAATTGCAATGGAGGAAGATTGAAAGCCTTTATAGAGGCAATAGACATACTATAAAACCTTTATAGCGGCAATTGGGAACTTGCTCTGCCCTTATCATTTGTTTCCCTGTAAGCCCCTGGCTCTTCATATTTATTTACCATTATTTTAAAATTTCTCTTCCCACTTACTGGGTAACTGGAAAATGGTAGAATCTTTTTTCTCTGGACATCTTTTAAAGAATAAGATTCATTCTCATCTGGCATAATGATATGAAGATATTTAGAAGGAAAATGGAGGAGTATGGAGTTATCAGTAGGTGAACTAATACACAGCCTTGTTAGAGAACATGTCCAAATGAATTATAAATAGATTCTCTAGTCCTTGGAGGTAAAGGCTCCTTATTACTTTAGATGCCTTGGGTCCTAATATAAAGTACATATATACATATTTTAAATCTATTTTTATCGATTTCAGAGAGAAGGGGGAGGGAGAGAGAGATAGAAACATCAATGATGAGGGAGACTCATCAGTCAGCTGCCTCCTGCACACCTCACACTGGGGATCCAGCCTGAAACCCAAGCATGTGCCCTGACTGGAAATCATCCGTGACCTCGTTTCATGGATTGACACTCAACCACTGAGCCACACCATCTGGACTACATATATTTTTGAAGACTTTGTGGTTCCTAGAGTTTCTTGACAAGACCACAGATGAGTACTAAGGACTTCCCATTGCTTCTCTATGGAACAGGATCATTTTGTGCCCATAAGAAGACTGTACACGTTGCAAACTTTGGAACCCAGCACATCCTGTTCTGCTGATCTGATGACAATAGCCATGTAAAGATACAGACATTAATACTGCATCAGATCAGGGCACTCCTACCCATCTGCCCAAGGCTGGCATTCATCTTGGCTTTTAAACATTTTTTCTCATTTCAAATTTTATTTTGTTCTTCTGACACTTTTCTGATTGCACATATCACAAATTTCACTGGATGATTATCAGGAAACATATAAGTTATGTGGATCTTATGGTAGATTTCTTTTTACAGCTCTGACTTCTTGATGATTCTTTTTTCATAGTAGAAGCCAGAGCACTGCCTTTTGAGAAGTAATTTGTAGGAAATAGATTATCATTAGTGAAAAACATAATCCAATGGATACATTACTAATTATTTTGCTATTTTAAAAAGAAAAGGCAATTAAAATATTCTGTCTCTACAGGGTGTTGCCAATGTCTTCAGCACTGCCTATCACTATGTCCACAGCCGGGAGCACATCCTGCACGTTGTGATCACGGGCATCAGCTGGCTCTACGACAACATACCAGACATTAACGCCATCTCTACATACTTCATTGAGCCTAGCCCAGAGCAGGTAGGCAAGGCTGGGCCGTATTAGGCCTTCCCAGGGCAACAGAGTTTCTAGATGTTATTGTCTTGCTGATATTTTAAAACCATATTTAGTTAGCCATTAGGCTAATTGGGGACATAGTTCCCATGACACGAACTCAAACTGTCCACAGTTGAGTGGCAGGAATCCATCTCATACTGCCTTAGGCAAAAAGGGGAATTGCTTGACTCATGTGACCGAAATGAAGAAAGGATAGACAGCAAGGTGGCTTCCAAGATGACCAGATCCAGGGATTCAACGCCATCAGGGCTCTCTCAGGTTCTTCTCTCCCCAGTTCTCATGTTGCTTCCCTCTGCACTTTGGCTTTGTACTTCCAGCTAAAGATGGGCTTTTCCCACAAGGCAAAGCCAGCTGCTTAGTAGCTTGAAAAGAATCTTTCCTTTCTGTTCCAATTTGGAAAACCCAAGAAACAAAACTCATTTTGACCTATCCTGAGATGTGCCTGGGATAGGGAACTTTTCTACAGTGCACGTGTAACATCAGAAAAATAATATAAACACGACATTTTATCACAATTATTTTTAAAAATATGCTTTTGGATTTAAATAAGTCTCATATTTTGACATTTTTCTCTTGTGGAACACCTCATTCCTTAATGGTACTGAGTAAGTAAAATGTCACTGTACTTAAAACTAAAAATCAGCTAAGCTTTTCTAATTTTTTCCTACTTATCTGTCCCCAAAAGCTTTAATGAGAATATGAAGTCTAATTATTCTTCTCCATAATGAAATATCTTCCTCTTTTCAAGGGTTCAGACTATGTTTTACGCAATATGATGGTCACAGGGCCCCTAGGTCTAACAGAAATCCACAAAAATCCCCCTACCGTCTTCAGGAAGACATGCATCTTCAGGTATGAGAGGCATCTTCATGTCTGTTTTGTTTGCTTGCCAGAGCACACAGCTGGGTGTGATAGATCTGAAGACACAGCTTTTGCCTCCTATTAGTATACAGTGACTCTCATTCTGATTGGATTTTAGAGACAATCTCCTGACTGCATGGGTCATATGAACTCCTTTCCCCCTCAAGTCCTTTTTAAAACAAATCTCATTGGTGTTTTATATTAAAATTGCATGTTGTTAAGCATGATAGTCTTTTATTTTCTATGATTTTCTTGTAAACAAGGAATTAAATAAAACCCACTATGATTATGACAAATACATCTACACCACTTATCAAAATTCCTCATCTTAATATTAGCCAGCTTGTGAACAAGTATATTTTATTTAAAGAAGACAGGCTGGGCAAAAGAGGACAGGAGTCAAAGAATGTTATCTTCAATAAATACCCAGTTCAGGGTTACTTCAACTGCCTCTCACCTGTGGAATACAGGAACACTATTAAACTGTGGGCAGATGCAAAACATCTTTACTGAGAACACTCCTATTGCAAGAGGGGGCTGACTGCTTCTTGGGGAGGGTCAGTGTAGCTGAGCAGCCAATAACCTATCTAGCCTGAAGGCTAAGTTGATATTTAAGTACCTATTTAATTAAATTTTAGTACCAGAATGTTCATTAAGTTAGAAACTCTTTTTCTATTATTATTTCTATTTCTAGTCACATAATTATTCCTTGTGGTGTTCAAGAGCTTTAGGGGAGTCTTTGTAATATCCAGACTCATTTAATGATGCATCAGTTTAACATGATGCATCATTACTATTGTTATAAAGTCACACAGTGGTGGGAGTAGCAAAAGACAGAATCTTAGCTGTCATTATAGGGTTGGTATTATAAACTGTAAATGTGCTTTTTTTTTTTTTTGAGGCAATGCAAAGCACCAACATTTTTACAAATACCTCAAAAGAATGACATCCCAATGTAGATGGGGAAAGAGGAAAGGAGATAAAGAGATGTGTCCATACCTTACTATGCCACTGCATTTCTGTGAAAACCTCTGGTCTCTCACTGAAGCAGATGCTGTTGATGCCCAGCCCAGATCCCCCATGTATCTTTTGCCAGCTGCTGCAAGTGCTACTGCTAATGACTCACACTGTAGCTTTCTCAGGAGGAGTGCCCTTGAGAAATGGGAGCTTCTCACCAGGAGGTGCCTACCAGTTATGTAAACACTCTTCCCCACCCACAGAGCAACTTAGAGCCAACCACTGACAAAGACCTCTTCCTTGCATCCAGGTGGGACAGACTTTGCTTCCCAGAGCTCCCCTTGGGATCAGGCTGAGGTTAGACTTTACCTGAAATCACATTCTTATGTAGCTTTTCCCCCTTCCCTCTCCTGCTTTCCTTAGACCCTCACAGGTTTCTCCTGAGAGCGTTCCCTTAACAAATCATTTCCCTGTCTCGGGTGCTGCTTCTAGAGAACCTAACATGCATCATTCCTTCAGGCATTCCTCCAATACTTCCTGGACAACATGTAAACAAACAAAAAAATGAATACCTTTCAGATAAGTATGAGTCCAGTAAAGACAATAAAGCAGAATAACATGAGGGAGCGTGACTCAGGCGCTACTACTTTAGATTACACGGGTAGGGAAGGCTTCTCTAAGAGGAGATGAGTGAGTGAGCTGAGGGAGAGCTCTGAAATCAAGAGATGAAGTGGTCCAGGCAGATGAAATAGCAACAAGAGCTGGTGGGCTGAAGTGTAGTAGGCACAAAAGAGAGGGATTCAGTATGTCTGGGTGGAATGTTATGAACAGGCTTATCTTCGATACCCTTATGCTTATTTGGTTTGGATTTCAGGGATTTCCTTTTTAAGTGTACAGACAGTTCAGAAGTTCTTTTGACCTCTGTCTGTGGAGAAAACCACATTGCAATTCCACTTCGTGAGAGAACAGGAGAGGCTCTGGGGGCTCTCGATTTTAACATTGGCAAGAGGAAGATGTTGTTTTATCGAGAATTTAAAGATCTACAGAAAATGGTGAAGGTGACCCAAGCTGCCTGCTATGAAATACTGGACGAGTTATCTGGAGAAAAAGAGAAAAATCGTATCTTAGGTATTGTGAATGTGGTGACAGTCTAAATTTATGGGTTTAATTAGTTTTGGGGAAATCACAGGCAATGCAATGAAGGATGTTTTCTAAAATGAGTTGTTGCAATATACAGATTTTCCTCATGAAAGAAATACCCTCATGCAGTCTTGGACTGATGAGTATGAGCGATAAATTAAAGTAAAGGGTAAGGAATTGCATTTTCTTGGCTAGAATCACATGGTTTTAGAATTAGAAAGCCTCCTAAAGGCAATATAGGACTAGCATTTATTAAATGCCCCATCATATACCAAGCACTTTAAATATGCTATTTCAATTAGTCCTGACCATAACTCTATGAGGTGAGTGGTGATGCCTCATCTTATAGGTGAGAAAGGCAAAGTTTAAAGAAACAAAACAACTTGCACCAAATCACAGTTAGCAAGTGGTGGAGACTGGATTTACACTCAAGTTTGGGTGCTCTTTCCACTGTATTACATAGCGTTAAGTCATCAGAGCATCTGATTTTACAGATAAAGAAGCTAAAGCCCATCAGAGTAAAGGTCCCGTAGCAAGCTAGGGACAGAGCCAAGACCGGACCTCAATCCTTGTGATTCCACATCCATTAGGCTACTCCCGATACAGTTTGGGCAGAAGGGAGGAAGAAGGAAGCATGGAAACCTTTGACTACCTAGAAGAGAGTGAATGGAAAGAGAAGAGTAACACGTGTATAATTAAGCTAACAGCTTTCTAGCCATTACATAGGGTGGGGAGGGATATGAAGAAAAAAAAAAAGAAGAAAATTCATGTCTTGTGAGGGTTCACTATGTATAAGGCCAAAATTAAGCACTTTTACATATATCAACTTTTTTTCCATGCTTCATTTCTTTAATCATGTGGTAACAAAGATAACAGACTTACAAATATCATTTGGATGTGCACTTATTTTTGTTTAAAGTATTACATATGTCTCCTTTTTCCCCCATCAACCCCTCCCTGGCCACTCACACCCTCCAGGACATACCCCCACCGCCCCAGGGTTGGTGTCCATTGGTTATGCTTATATGCATGCATAGTAGTCCTTTGGTTGATCTCTTATTCCCGCCCCCGCCCCCCCCCCCCCCCCCCCCGGCCTACCATCCCCTGACTTCCCTCTGAGCTTTGACGGTCTGTTCGATGCTTCTTTGTCTCTGGATCTATTTTTGTTCATCAGTTTATGTGGTTCTTATATCCCACAAATGAGTGAGATCATGTAATATTTATCTTTCTCTGACTTATTTCGCTTAGCATAATGCTCTCCAGGTCCATCCATGCTGCTGAAACCAGGGCTTTAGTTTGCTGGAAGATTTTTTACTACTGCTTCAATTTAATTGGTAGTTATTTGCCTAGTCAGGTTTTTTGGTTCTTCCTGATTGAGTTTTGGAAGCTTGTATTTTTCTAAGAATATGTCTATTTCATCTAGGTTGTCCAGTTTGTTGGAGTAGAGTTGTTCGTAGTATATTTTTACAATCTTTTGTATTTCTGTGGGGTTGGTTGTTACTTCACCTCTTTCATTTCTGATTTTGTTTATTTGGGTCCTCTCTGTTTCTTGGTGAGCCTGGCTAGAGGTTCATCAATCTTGTTTATCCTTTCAAAGGACCAGCTCTTGGTTGTATATTGATCTTTTGTATTGTGTTGTTTTTTTTTTGGGGGGGGGGGTCTCTATGTCGTTGATTTCCGTTCTGATCTTTGTTATTTCCTTCTTCCTGCTTACTCTGGGCTTTTCTTGTTGCTCTCTTTCAAATTCTTTAAGTTGTAGGGTTAGATAATTTATTACCATTTTTTCTTGTTGTTGTTGTTTTTTGTTTTTTTTTGAGGTAGGCCTGAAGAGCTATGAACTTTCCTCTCAGGTCTGCTTTCACTTTGTACCACAGATTTTGGATTGTTGTCTTTTCATTGTCATTTGTTACCAGGATGCTTTTTATTTCTTTTGATGTCTTTTATAATGGTAACCCAATCACTGTTTAATAGCATGCTATTTAGCCTCCAAATTTTTGATTTTTTTTCCCTTTGTCTTATTTTGTAGTTGATTTCTAATTATATGCCATTGTAATCTGAGAAGATGCTTGATATGATTTCTATCTTCTTGAATTTGAAGAGACTTTGCCTATGTCCTAAGTCCTATTATGCGGTCTATCTTTGAAAATGTCCCATGTGCACTTGAATGTATATTCTGTAGCTTTAGGGTGAAATGTTCTGAAGATGTCAATTAATTCCATCTGATCTAGTGAGTCATTTAGGATTGCTGTTTCTTTGCTGATTTTTTGTTTAGAGGATTTATCCAGTGTTGTCAATGGGATATTAAAGTCCCCTACTATGACTGTATTGGTGTCGGCCTCTTCCTTGATATCTTCCAGAAGTGTTTTTATGTATTTGGGTGCTCCTGTATTGGGTGCATATATGTTAACTAGAGTTATATCCTCTTGTTGAATTGCTGCCTTTAGTATTATGAAGTCACCCTCTTTATCTCTTGTTATGGCCTTCACTTTGAGGTCTATTTTGTCAGATAAAAGTATTGTTACCCCAGCTTTTCTTCCATTTCCATTTGCCTGAAAAACTTTTTTCCATCCCTTCACTATCCATCTGTGTGAGTCCTTTGTTCTGAGGTGGGTCTCTTGTACACAGCAAATATATGGGTCATGTTTTCTTATCCATTCAGTACTCTATATCTTTTGATTGGAGCATTTAACCCATTTACATTTAAGGCTATTATTGATAGGTACTTATCGCCATTTTTATTCTTTATACCTGTGTTCCTTCTTCCCTTTCTATTTCTTCTTTTCACAGAAGTCCCGTTAGCATTTCTTGCATTGCTGGCTTGGTGATAATAAACTCCCTTAGCCCTTTTTTGTCTGTGAAGCTCCTGATTTTACCTTCAATTTTGAATGATAGCCTTGTTGGGTATAGTATTCTTGGATTCAGTCCCTTGCTTTGCATAACTTTGTATATTTAATTCCATTCCGTTCTGGCCTGATTATATCAACTCATTTAATGTCCACACTCACCCGAGAAGTAGGAATCAATCCCATTCTCACAGAAAAGGAAGAGGAGGTTCAAAGAGACAAAAGAATAAGGGGGAGAGTAGATATTCAAACTAAGATCTAATGCCAAAACACGAGTTTCCTTTCACCTTTCCTCAAAGCCTCTTCCTGTGCATTTTACCAGGTGTAGTTTCATTTCTGCCTTTTGATTTCATGACTAGAAAAACTAAGATTGTTTAAAACTGTAAGATATGATCTTTTTTCTAAAATAATTTTATTATATTATGCTCAGAATCCTCTGAAAAATATAATGTATGTATAAACAACCATGTGGGATATAATTCTGTTATTCCAGAGATTGAAAATGCAGGAGAAGTCCAGCAGGCAGGAGTTCTCTTCTTCCGAATCATGCTGCAAGAGCTGCAGAAAAGCCTTCGGCAGCTTACCTCCATGGACTTTGTATCACTGTTGCTCCATGATTACCGTTCTGCAATACAATCAAATAAATCTCTGACAGCCAGCCAGTTACACGAGTTGGAAGCCAATGCAAAACTAATACCTGACATCCTGACAGCGGTTATCTTGTTCATTCATCCAGAGTTGGAATCATCACATGAATTAGAAATTTGGGATAAATGTAAACTGGTAAGTTCTTTTTAAGTATTCTTTTTATTGAAAAATAACCCACACAAGTTTAGGCACGCAAATCATAATTGCACGAATCATAAGTGTACAAATGCAAGGATTTTTACACAATGAACATTTGTAACCACCTAAATTAAGAAACAGATCCTAGGGGCATCTCAAAAGCCCTCCTTTGTACTCTCTCCCATGTCTCCCTCTCCCCCCACATACACACACCTAGGGTGACCAGAAGTCTGACTTCTAATACCATTCGTTGGTTTTGCCTGTTTTCTAATTTATATAAATGAAATTATACAAACTAGTGAATTGGGTACTCTAGTTCCACTCGCTGGTGATCCCATAATTTTTGTTCTTTATTCACAGTACTTTAACAAACACTTAGTTGAGAGTATTTGTGCCTTTGATCCAACTGCGAAGAATGTAAAAGTTAATTTAAAGCTCATTGGTAACTATCTCAAAGGTAAATTTCTTTTTAATTATGGTCTAAATTGTACTAACAACAATAAAACACAGTTGCAAAAGATATCTGAATAAAGTAAGTAGCTCACAAATTCAATTTTTAGGAAAAATAGTTCTGAATATAGTCTCCTAAAAGGAGGGACACTGGCTATAATTTATGCATTCCCCAAAGTGACTGCCTCTGCCACCCACATGAGAATTCAGAAGCACATCTGTCTCCCACTCACTTTTTGGAGGAGAATCAGCAGGAATCTAGAGCAGTGAGGCTCCCAGGCTGGAGAAGGTGATGAGCTCTTTGGCCATGGAGAATTAGCCACATGTGAGAGTAAATACTGGTATACAGAGGCAGGCAAAAGTAGGTCTACAGTTGTTTATATGGAAAATACAATAATTACAATAACAATACAAGAATAAACTCTGCTTTGTGGTCTCACAACTGTAAACCTACTTTTGCCCTATGCTGTACATATGCAAGCACACATTCCTCCATGGGTGCGCATTACCTGAATGGAGACCTCAGGTCACTTATGTGAATGGAAAAGTAAGGAATAAATTTAAGGTTTGTTCCTTTTTGTTACTCACGAAAAACTAGTATTAGGTGGGAAAACGACTCTGTAGAAATTGTTCAGTAAACCTGTCCCTCCCTTTCCCTTTCCCCTCACCTACTTTCTGTGGAAATTCTAGATCAAGTCAGAAGGGTTTCTGCACTTCTGTGATTCTTATATTAGGCCGAGAGACTCAGAACCAAAGAGATTCCTAGGGCGAGAGGAATGAAAAGGCAACTCAGAGGAAGACAACCACAATCCTCAGGGTGTCTGTGGCAGTGGACGCATATAGTACAGGGGGAGCACATAGCAGTGAGCTGGGGCGCATGTTTGAGAAAGAAGTTGTCTAGCATAGGAAGACGAGATACTCCCAGAAGTTTGGGAGTGCTAGAAAATAAGAGAAAACACAAGATTCAAATAAAAGTTACCATGGATTAGTGGGGATTATGAGCGACATGAGTAAAGATTAGAATTCGTATTAGGAAGGGCCTCATGGGTCTGGGCTGATTCAGGAGAGCCTCTGGATTCATAGGTGTTACAGGTCTCACTTCTTCTAAGGAAGTGATTCAAGGGAAACAATAACAGTAGCAACAACAAAACGAATACTTGTTCATCGTATACGTGCATAAACTAGGTCCACATTTGTTCACCGTTCACTGGGGACTTAACAATCCTGAAGAAATGTTTTCTATGTCAGTGCCTCCTTGGTGCTCTTCCCTTTGGAGTAGATTCAGTTCCCATTCGTGAGCCCCAGGACCCCCTGCCCTCCATGTGTGACCAGTTTGTCAAACTGACTTTCTCCTTGAGCCCTTAACCACGTTGGTCCCCATCCATATTGCCAGACTCTTGGCCTAGATCCAGACCCTGCTGCCAGGGTCACTTGTGTCCTCTCAGACTGATGCTGCCTTTCTTGGGTGAGGACTCAGGCTCCCATCACTGTCAAATCCAGTCCCTCTGTGAGATGGGATCTGGAAATGAGCAGCAGGCCCCTCCGCTCTCTACCTTGCAGGTGTATCCAGGAATTGGCTCTCAGCCCTTAATAAGCCTATTCCCAGACAAAGGCATCTTCTGTGGAATTGTACCAATGTTTCAAGGGACTCTCTTAAGGCCCACCTCTGATCTGCATGTCTTATATAACCCCTTTGTTTCAGAAAACATGCTAATTTCTGTTTGCTCTGCTTGCTGCCACTTTGATCTGTGCTAGCTAATTCCGGAGCACCCTTGATCTCCAATGATCCCCACCACTTTCTCTTTTCCAACAGTGTCCTCAGGTGGCAGGAATACTAACAATGCTGGATTCAGCCAGAAACCAATATTCCCTAGGCTACCCTACCACCAGCACCAAGCCTTCAGCATTATCATAGCCTCTGCAGCAATCAAGACAGTTCATCAGCCACCCAGATACCAACCCTCTCTCCTTCAGATGCAACTGTATTCTAAGCTCCCCATTTGGGGAAAGGAAGCAGAACTCTTTGGGGCCCCTTTCTCTTTATGCCAAAAAGAAAGGAGTCTTCTGGCATCGGATTCTGTTGCTCAAAGTTTATTGAATCTTCTGGCAGCATTAAGTACGGCACCTACCCAACCACCCCAATCAGCATGAAATGCTACCAATAATATTTGTAGAAGTTCTCTGGATGGGGAGGGACTGTTAGCATAGCTCCTAACCCACCAAGCCTTCCAAACTAATGATTTTGCCAGGAAGACAGAATTAGGGCTGATGATGTACCCACACTTTCTTAGGGCTTCTGCTGTCAACTCTTACTTTTATTAAGATAATGACATAAAAGGGTTTTCTCTTTTTATAGTTGAATAATATTCCATTACCTATGCCTCATTTTTATTCATGTTAATGAACATTGTTTATACGTCTTCTCTATTGTAATGCTGCAATGAACAAAGGAATGCAGATATCTCAAGATAGTGATTTCATTTCCTTCAACTGTATACCAGAAGAGGGGAATTGCTTAACCATATGGAAATTCTACTTCTCATGTTTTGAGGAAACTCCATACTGTCTTCCAAAGTGTCTACATCAATTTACATTCCCACCAATAGTGCACAAGCGTTCTCCTTTCTTCACATCCTTGCCAACACTGATTTCTTGTCCTTTTTATGATAATCGATCTAACGGGTACAGTGTGGTATCTCATTGTGATTTGGGTTTGCATTTCTAGAACGGGGTGTTTTCTGGTGGAATTCCAGGCAGCTGTGTCACCTCTAGATGAGGCAGTCATCTATGAAGGAGCAGCTTTGTTCAGTATGCTTATCCTCTCAAGTCTGTACCACTGTATGTGAATGTTACTGACATACTTCCCTGTGGGGGACCCAGTGACTCCACTGGCCACCCCGACAGCTATACATGCAGTAGCATATCAATAACCTGCTACCCTCTGCCTAAAGTACTCCCAGTAGTTGGCCTCTCCTACCTAAAGACCCATGACCTGACTATCTTCTCAAGAATCTGTTCTCCCCACTCCACTTTCGACCTCTGTGGCCAGCCTGGCCTAGTCTTTCTGTAAGGTGCCCCATACCTGCCCCATGTTCCCTCCCAGGGAGTTTGGACAGATGTTGTCTACCGGTAAATGTTCTCAGACCCAGAGGGAAGAAGAGCTGTCTCCTAGTAAAGCCAGAATCACTCTGCTATCTAGAACCTGTATTTCTCCCAAGTGGCCACACTTCCTTCCCACAGGTAAATCCAAAAAAAGAAAAAGAAAATCTGAGGCTCTCTGTCCACCGACACTGATCTCAGCAGGAGTTTCCTAGGCCCTCTACTTTTTCTGCAAGTCCCAGGGTTCCCCTTGGCCAAAGAAGCCAGACTCAGTGTGATTATTTATAAAGATGATTGTCACCACTTGGACCTAGCATTGTTGGGTGGTAGTCCCTTCCGGGGCTTGCTGGCTCCTACTTGTAGGAAAAGAGCTGCTATCACAGTTAGACCCAGGTTTAACAGGAAGCCTAGAATGTGCCATTTATGAGTTGCTCATGGATTTCAGGCTCTAGAGAAGGAAACATCTGTTCAGTGTTAGAGCAGATTCCCTTTGTCCTGGCAAGAACCTCTTCAGGGCCCTTTTAATTAAGATATTAGACAAGCATTCACTCACACACTGTTCAGGAGACTATTTGGGGGCCTGGATGCTTGACCCATTTCCCGTGCAAGTAGACCCCTTCCATTGTCAGTCCAAGTCATCTGGGAATAAAAAGAAAGAAGAAAACTGAAATCAGCAATTTTCTTTCTGCTCTTTATCATGCCTTTTGATTTTAAAATTTGAAGTTTTCCAACAGTAGTTACTGAATTAAAAGAAATAACTAAAATTGGTTTTGTCTAATATCATTGCTGGTTTGATATCTGATAAAGACTATTAAAAATCAATTTAATGAGAACTTTTTCTCTTTAAGGCAAGCATATTTTTCAGGTTCCTTTGACACTCATAATTTTTTATCTTAGTGATATTAAAACAATTTTTTACCCAAAGGACTATAAAAAATGTATTTTTTATTAAAGTTCTTAAAAAGGTCTAAAAGAACTAAAAAACTTCTAACAGAAAGAGTCAGTAGCCCATCTTTCTTCTCTTCTCACTCACCCCAGGTCCCCTCACTAGGGGCAATTCTTTTTTGCCCATTTAACTGTTTCTTCTGGCAATAGCACATTTCAATATTTCTAGTTTTTGTAATATTGCTATCTTTAATTCATCAATTTTAAACCTTGTCAATTGATTTTCTCTTTATAGATGAAAGTTTAGTTGTTACACCACCATTCTCTTACCCTATCCTCCTGATGTAGTTATATTACAAATGGGGATTAAGTCAAAATGCAATGTTTACATGATTTTGCCAATGCAAATATTATCCACAACTGAGCACTGCAGCATACGGATTGCTCCTTTTTCACTTTTAATTTTTCATGAAATAAATAATTGCATTTTATTTTTTAAATTGCTTAATTTTATTTGTACTTCTTGATAATTCCTACCCCTTCCATTTATCTCTTTATATAATTTCCCAAAAGGTTACATTTATCAGGTAATATTTTTAGTTCTAATTTTTTTTTGAGCCATTCCTTCTAGAGATTTTAATTTTCTTTCTATCTGGAGTCTTCCTGCACCCCCGATCTGCTACTCAGCTGCCTTCCTGATATTTACTTTTCTGACCCCATAGAAATTTATTTTGCCATTCTCTTAGTTCATTCTTTCTTGACCTACTCCTGTGTTTTGAGACAGCATTTTTCCAGTAGTTTTCTGAGTTAGAGCACATGATTGGTAAATTTTTTGAGACCTTTCATGTCTGAAAGTTTGCCAGGTAATAATAATTTAGAAGACATTGCCCATTGTCTCCCCCCCCCCCCCCCCGCCCAGAAATTGAGATATAATTCAATTTCCACAAATTTCACCATTTTAAAGTGTGCCATTCAGTGTGTATGTGTTTTTTTAGTATATTCATCAGGTTGTGTAACCATCAC